TATATATATATATATATATATATATATATATATATATATATATATATATATATATATATTTTGGATGGTGGATTGGCCAATTTAGAATATAATTTATGGATAATAGTTTGATTTATAATTCCCAGATATAAATGATCGCAAATTAATCGCACGAGACCGGCGTCCGACGAGGCAAGAGGAGGAAGCAGCGATCATGGCCGGCATCTCTCGTCTTTGCAATCTCATCGCCGTCTCGCTCCGTCCCTACCTCGTCCGTGCTCTAATCTATCCTCCTCCTCCGCTTTTTCTTGCCATCGTTCTTTTGATATGACACTCATGATACTTTGACTCCTTCGTGAATGCAGGAACCCAGGCCCTTTCCTCTGACCAAAGAATCCGAGAAGGATCTTCTCGTCTCGCTTTCTCGAGTAAGCCTCTGGCTGAATCCCTTTCTCGGTCTTGAGGCCTCCCTCTTTTCGTAAATGATTTCTCCTCTGATATGAAGCTGCACTCTGCCCTTTTATTTTGGTTGATCTGATCCTTTAGGTTCACAAGCAAATCCAGCAATGGACGAACGAATCGGACTGCGACGGCGACCAGGTAAGATGTTAATTCCTCCTGAAAGATATCATCTTGCTTCGTTCGTCAACTAGGTTTCGAAGTTGTTAGTTTAGGGCTCCAAGAACAGTGATTTTTGTCTATCTTTATGGGTGAATATAGCATTAGTCGTCGACAAGGATTAGAATTTAGCTTAAAAAGATTAAGTTGATTTGGTATTGAATACTCCATCAAGAGCTGGTATGTGATAATACAATATGCTTGATGCTAGAAGTTTGCTTTTATCTGGAGTGCTTGATTTTGGTTTCTAGTGTCACTATGAATGAGAGAACTGAATATTTTCATTTTTATACATATTTCATTCCATCAAGAATCTTTACCTTCTGTTGTTTTCACCTTTTATCACAGGCATCATTTGAGTTCAACAAACCCTTATTTTCGGCCTTCGCTCTTAATGTCTTTCATGGTATACAGTGACACACTGATAGCAAAATGAATATGGTTGTGCACAACAAACCCTAGCACAATACTCACTAAGATGTAGAAAATGACTCAAAAAGGAGATAAAGATGTCTGTTGTAGAAAGCGACGTAGAAAGGTATCAATGCAGTAGTTGTATAAGTTGTATCTTTACCCTAGGGGCAAAGTAGTTAACTACATAATGCAGGAATTATAGGAAAAATCCTGAGACATTAACTAAACCAAACAAACTGCATGTATCAGTTTCTTGCGGCCAATTTGATATTTTGATTATATATTCATATAATCGCCAACAACTTGTTTCACATTATACAACCACTTGACGTTTCAGACTTTCAGTTTTTCTGTTTGTTTTCTGATTTTTCAGTACTTAATGGTCTGATAGCAACTTGTATGTGTAAACTTGAAAAAACTCTTGTTCTCTTCTTATATCTGCTACTTTTTGCTGCTAAATTCTTCCTTTACACTGAAACATGCTTCTGCCTGAAAATCTGACCTAACTTGTTTATTCACCTTGAGGATCAGTTTGCATTGACAAAATTATGAGTTGTTTTTCAAGTACTCAAAATTCGTTGATGCATCTGATGCAAATATATAAAAGGTTAATAAACCTCATATTTCTGGGGATTGCTGCTTCATTGCTATCCTGCTTTAGGTTTAAGTGGCTTCTTAAATATTTTAGGCATAAAGCTTGGTTGTTCATTTCTTTACAGTAATAGTGCTCATGAGCTCATGGGTTGTGAAAATTATTTGGATAAAGTTGTGACATTGGCTAATGCTATATAACTATGTTTTCAAAGACCTCCACTCAAGACCATGGAACTTGATTGATTTTGTATGATTGTATTAAGTGGGCTAGGAAATAGTAATTTTTATTTGGAAATTCATATCTTCATACTAGATAATCTAAATTATACACAATTTAGACTAGCTAGTGCTAGAACTGTTCGTAGGTGATGTCATTTATTTTAGTGCTCTTAACAACAAGGTGAAAGGATCTTGTTGAACGATGGCAGTTCTGGATATTCTTAGAAGAAAGCTGGGAGCCACAAGTCAATCCCAGTCTCAAAATTTGGTATTCTACGAATCTATGATCTCATGGTTTTGATTGAATTGGGGATCAGCAGGTCCTTGTAGCCTTGTAGATTGACAGATCACTGGATTGACTGAAAAATACCAAAGAAAAAAAAAATGCACATTCGGAACATTGAGTCAGCTTTATTTCAATTCACATTTGGAACATGCTATATTCTAAAATTTATTAATTTGATCAACCAACCGTATGAATTTATATTAAAATTATAAGATTTAAATGCAGAATCTAAGATATCTTGCTTTATTTCAATGAGCAATTTCTTGGCTCTGATGGAAACACTACAGCTTGAACATCAGTATTGGTAACAATCTGTCTTTCATTGTCTGTTTAATCTGTTCTTCCTTTCGGTTTTTTTTTTTTTTGTTACAGGAAAGGATTGCAGATTCTCACTTCTATGACACTTGTTATATGGATGTCAAGCATCAGTTTGTAGATGAAAACAATTGCTTCATGGACATTACTTCTACAATGGTATTCCATTTGAAGCATACAATGTAGGATTATATAAATAAGAAGTTCAGTGATTCTTGCTATTTATGTTCTTATATGATTATCCATTATAATATATTTATATGTTTTAGCAATTGAGGCTGGACATGCCAATGGCCTAATTTCGTAGATGACACGACTATGATTTGGTATCTCATCCTCTTGCTTTGACACAGGTAGCTTTCCTCGGTCTTGAAAGTGGATTTGTTCAGCATTTGGTGGGAAAAATTTTTGTAGGCATGTCAAATCTTCTGGCTAAGTTTGTATGTTCTTTGGGGTTGTCAAGTGTTTACTGGAGATGTGATAGACTTTATTATCGAATTATTGTCTTATTGTAATTTATTGATCAACAGAGGAGCAAATGGCTTAAATTACTGCACTTGCTATGGGTCAGCCTAGGATTGGCGATGTCAAGCAGATGCATCTTGCCATCTGCACCACTTGGATCTATTCATGTCCCTGATAAGAGTTGGATTCAGTCCTTCACAAACATTATGTTGCCCGGAATAGAAGATACAGTGTTTGACATTTCTATCTTCATTGCTCGTTTGCAGTTAAGAGTGATTGAGTTTAATGTGCATATGGTGGCAGGCCTTTTCCACACCTTCCGTAATATTCTGAAATCTTTGAAACGTGAAATTAGTGACCTTGAAGGAGCATATAGATATCTTGCTATGTCTTCACTTCTGAAGATGCCTTGGGGTTTGTTGGATGAGATTCATGTTAGTAGGATTCATTTTGGCAAGGATGCAATACTTGATAGGAAAAACTGTTTGCCAAGGTCCGCAGATATGCTTGCAGGGATAATTCTTCAACTGCTCTGCTCCTTGGTTGAGCAAAAAGATCTCATGGATGTTGAGGGTGTTTCCTTTGGAGATCATGCTATATATACCAAATTCTCTGACCTAGTGCTTAAACTTTTGGCCTGTTTCTTCAAGCACCTTGGATGTTATGAGAGTCTTTCTGGATACTTGAAACACAAAACGCTGGTATACCATCAATTTGTTCTCTCTTTGTTAAATTTGATTTTGCCAAGTATGATGTAGTTTATTAAGAACTTGTAACTGATACTAACTTGCAAGATTTCACTGTATGTAGTGCTGTGATATTTAATCTCTAAGCTATTTGTGGAATTACATGTTACTGATTAGATTTCCAGTGGTTCTTTTTGCAGGTGCTAATGGTAAGACTTAGGCTTCACATGCAGTGTGATGTTTCTCATCTTGTTTTATGGCTAAAGTTGCTTAAAAACCATTTTGAAGATCTCTTATATGCACCTATATCAGTTTGTGATGATGGTTCTGCAGCTACTTTAGAAGAATCTCCTTTTTTAGCTGTTTCTGTTGATAGAGACATGGTGCAGAATTTATGCACCCAACATTTGAGGAGACAGACAATTTTCCTTTTTCTTCATTGCTGCTTCAAACTGGTTCACTTTCATCATGAAGCTGATCATCAATTTTCATGCGGAGGGAAATATTCTTCTATTATTTCCACATTGCAAGTCTGTAGCGAACATTTCACCTGCATGGGCTTAGTGGAGCTATTTGAGTGGCTTCAGAAGTGTGCTTCACTGGAGAATGTCGTGGATTATGAGAGTTTTAGAAAATCCTGCTTTAGCTTTGGCTCATCCTTCCTGCAATTTTATATGGAGGAGGTATGCTTTGCTTTTATGTACCTATCTTTCTCCTCTTTAAGCCACAGGTCTAGAAGATTTGTGTTGCTTCTTAATTGTTTTCTTTGAGCATCTTCATGTTTCTTTTCCGTCATATTTGTCTTTGACTTCTTGTGTAGGATAATAATTTCTGAAAAACCCTTTCTTCATCATCTTTCTTTAGCTGAATGTTGATACATTAGTTATATACAAGTTTAAGCAATTAGTGCATAATTTCATGACCATAACTTGGTAACTTGTTAATCAACTTTAGTAATTCACTTATAATTGATGATGTATTCCATGACATGCACATAATGATTTATCTTTTTGTACAAAAGACCTTTCTCAATTGTTCTTTATCTTGTTATTACCTGCCAATGGTCCCCTAGAAAATGATTAGTCCTATTTGGCTACACCAGCAACAAGCTGTAATGTTCAAACTACTTGCCCTGTAGACATGTCTGTAAATGAGTTTCCTTTTTATCTTGATTTTAGCTACACTTGTTCGCAAATGGAGACATCTCTTAATTTGTTTTTCCTAGTGACCTCACATATCTACCCCAACACTATCATAAGTTAAATTGGTATTTTGTATATGATACTATGGCACTTGGTAAATTAGCTGTTTTCATGTTAAATTAGCCTGCAACTTAATGATACTATGGTACGTGGTAAACTGATTTTAGTTAAGCTTATAGCTGGTGTTCAGGTGACTTTCATATATGCCACTGATTTGTGTCTTCTACTTATTTAATATTTGGACAAGTAATGACAGGGTATTCTTTTTTATTAATGTTTTACACTTTGGATTGCAGGATGATATGCTATTTGATATCCTCTTGCTCCTTTTGGATGCTCCAGTCATTAGCTTGCAAGTGTAAGCCACATTAGGATATAATTGTATTGTAATGATAATTTGATAGGTAAAGAAACATCTCTGTATCCTCTTCCCTTATAAAATTGCAGATGTAGCAATGGAGAGGAAACTTCTTTCGAGGAGATGAAGAAGGACATCATTTTTAATATTTCTAGTATCTTTAACCCCATTTACCTTTTCCATATGTTTCTGTTATTGGTAAGTTGGTTAGAATGCTTAAAAGCATCATGCTTTTCAATTCATTGTTTGTTTTTCTTGAGAGGTTGAGTTCGTCTTCTGTTGCTAGTTAAAACAAACATGCAAATTATGTTATCTAGATATTGTCTTAATTTCAAATTAAAAGTCAAGTCTTTGCAATGCTTATCTTTCTTTGGATCACTTGTGTTCATGCTTCATTTATTATCCAAGAGCCCAGGTAAATAGTTTATAGGATAACCTTCTAACGTGAAAAACTCTGGATATCATATTTGCTTTCATCTCATCATTGTTGGAAGGAGTTCTACGCTGCTGCTAGTCTTTTTTGCAAGAAATCAATTAGAATTGTTTCTAGCATATATATATTTTTTTTGTTTGCTGATGAACAAAATTCATCCGTTTACCAAATGCAACCTTTCAATCCATGGCTACTTTTGGTAACAAGATAGTAATAAATGTGTCACTGCTAGCATAGGTAGGGTTTGTACATGTAAAAGATTTTCTAAAACTAGATTTTCCTGTGACAACTAATGGCTTATATTTGTTCATTTTTTATTTGATAGAATGAGATCATTTTGAAGTTGCCTGTTGCTGCTAAAGGATGCACATAAATATCCTGCACTGATGTATATCTGTTGGACTCATAAATATGAAATTCCATGTCATCCTAGCTATTACTTGCAAAAAATGCATAAAAGGAGTTCTCTCAATCAAGAAGCTTGAAAGTCTGTAGCGGTCCAATTTTTCCAACCCTTTCATTTAGGTTCCAAGTTTAATGCCTATTCTTGCCAGTAGTTGGTGCTGTCCATAACACCCATGAATAGATGTTTTAGCATTAAGCAATTTTGCCTTATCAGCCACACTAGAAAAGTTAGTGATTGGTTGACCCCTAAAATCAGATTTTGTTCATGTAAATTCCTCCAAACCTGTTTCACAAGAGAAACAAATAGATAAGAGGATTAATGAATCAACTGGTAGGGTCACCACTAACAACCATCCTATGCTACTGTATCTATGACTCAAAAAATTATATAAAATGACAACAATTGCTTCTTTTTTTCCTTTCCAACCGACTCTCACCAAATTATGCTTGCAATAACAATGACAGTACTCTTTTCTTTTGTACTGTGATTCATTTCCTCTAATTGGTTAGCAACTTATCTGCATTGCCATGACACTTATTTAGACATCATGAACAAAACATGTATCAGAAACAAAATAATGTAACAATAATGCTAAATGACTCAGCCTAATCATCCTACAGGAGAAATAAGATGGAGTCTGACTAAGCTAAACCTTGAATATAATTTTGAATGTGTCAACAAATCAATATTGGTTTTACATTTATTGGACCTTTATTCCATCGATTGACAAGCAATTTGAAGAATAACATGTGTGATTGTTGTTTGTGCTTGCAGTTACATTATGATCACTTGGTGCTTGTTGACTATCTACTTTCAAAAGATTTAGGGATTCGTTTTCTGCAGTATCTTTTAAGGTACAGTTCCTGTTTGTTATTTATGTGATTATATTACTCCCTACAGAATGCCAAGACAAACTACAATGGAAGATTTTTTTTTGTGTTCATTGAATTGAAAATGGATTTGTTTAGATAAGTGGTTTTATCAGTGTCAGACTTAAAGAAGTCTTGCCATTCTTTAGAATCAAAAGGAATATCGGAGATAATGTTGATTTGAAAGCATTTTACCTTTGATCAGATGTGAAATACAAACTGATATCTACATCTTTTAGTTTCTCAATAAAACTAAAAAAGGATTTTCCTTCTAATAACAAGCATCAGTTTTATGTTAAAACCATTTAGTATGGAATTGAATAAAGAAAATGAACCCAGTGAGAAGAATTTGAGGGATAGATATCGCAGATATCAATCGCAGCACTTCACATTCTTATACGGTTCTTGAAACATGCTCGAGCATTTCATGGCAGTTTATATAATTAAATTTATTCTGACATGCACTCAGCTGAGTTAGATGGACCTTGTCGATATTACAGACTATTGACTAAGTACTTAAAGAAGTTTCAATTTACTTTTCTAGTTGTCTTTCATGAGTTTTATTGGTTTCTTGAATCTTAACCCTTTTCAACTGTTACTATTAACAACCTACAGTAAGGTCTGAGATTTCCAATGAATAGCGACAGAAGAGCAAAAGAACAAAACATGTTAAAGAATAGTTTTTGAACTCTTAGATGAGTTGACAGTGAAATCTCCATTTGTTTACCATGTTTTCATTGAGTTTGTACAATTTGTAGTTGATTGACAATATTTTCTTGCCATGGACTTTACATGGTGATTTGGTCATTTGATGGATCTTGTCTAAATGGTTTCTTCTGTTTAAGCAATATGTTGAATTAAAAACAAAAGCAAAATAATTAAATCAATATGGTCTTAGTAAAGGATCTATTAAATTTAGTTGATTTTGTATGTATTTGCAGGTCTGTGCACTGCTAAGTTTTCTGTCTTTTTACCACATCAGATTTTTACCTTCAAAGACAGCAGGCCTTGGCAATGTCAAAGTTGCACCATTTACCTGGGTGTTTATGTGTTTGTACCATTGAACAAGTTGCATGCACAGATTGTGCATGCCCACCCTTCCCTAGGCCTACAGTGGTAGGAGCAGGGTTACCCTATATTTTTGCATTTCAGCTTCTTTCATACATATAATCAATGGCATGCATTGTACCACCACAAGTGATGAGTAATTTCTGCATATATTGGGAGCAGGAGAGCGTATGATTTTTTTTTTATCTCAGATTTTCTCACATTTTATATGTTTATTCAACTAGGAATCTATTTTCAGCTACATACAAGCTTGAACATACAAATTATTTAAGAAAATCTGATTTCCATTCTCGTTATTGCTTGGAAGATTATGTGCTTACTTCATTTTGTTATATTCATATTTGTTCTTTTTCTTATGTACTATAATTTATAGGGTTTAATAAATTCATTATAAATATGTGCCCCACAGGTGTTTACGGATGGTTGGTACATCCTGGCACATCTTTTTGAGATTTCCAATATGTGGAAGTGAACAAAATCAGTCTTCATACAAGAGAAGAAAGATATCCATAGATGAGAGCTTAGAAGCTTTACCTTCGTCAATTATGATGACTAAAGAACACAAAGTAAGAAAGCTGTTGGCTGCGGGCAACATAGATAAGAGCATGACTTTCAATAATGCCAAAGAATGTTTGCTTAGTTTAAAGAAAACAGTGGAAGATCTTCATCGAAAGAATTTATTTCCTTATAATCCAAAACCCCTTCTTAGAAGGTTTGCAATTTTCTGACATTATTTCTTTTTTCTTCTATTGTATGAATTCATGAGTGAGTAGTCCAATTTTCTTTTTAGTAGCCTTTCAAGTTTGCCTTGATTTTGTATGCAAGTCTAACACATGTTAACACAGATAGCAGCTTCATAGATGGAAAGGAAACTTAGGATAGCAGAAACACATTTGTATCTTGGCTTGAATGAGTGAGCAGTCCAATTTTCTTTTTAGTAGCCTTTCAAGTTTGTCTTGATTTTGTATGCAAGTCTAACACATGTTAACACAGATAGCAGCTTCATAGATGGAAAGGAAACTTAGGATAACAGAAACACATTTGTATCTTGGCTTGAATGAGTGAGTAGTCCAATTTTCTTTTTAGGAGCCTTTCATGTTTGTCTTGATATTGTATGCAAGTCTTAACACATGTTAACACAAATAGCAGCTTCATAGATGGAAAGGAAACCTAGGATAACAGAAACACATTTGTATCTTGGCATGAATTGGTGCCTTTGGGAACAATTACATGGTGATAAATTTTTTTTTTCATCACATGTACATGTATACTATACCATCATCCTTGAATATTGTACCTGGAAATATCTTGTTTTTACTTGAGATGACAGCATGGCCACTTCAAATTATTTGACTGTCAGGTGAATTATCTGACAGATAGCAAGGAAGCAAATACTAGTTGGATCAGTACAATCAGTATTTACAGGTCCGATCAGTATTGTCCTGTATATATTGGTATTTAGTTTTTTTGTGAATTTTCCAGTAAAATTGGACTGTGTAGGTCGATATTGTACCCAATAAACCAATACTGTTTCAGTGGCCGATTGCGGAAACTGGTATCAGACAAAAAGCAAGGAAGCATATACTAGTTGGATCAGTACGATCAGCATTTACAGGTCCTATCAGTATTGTCCTGTATATATTGGTATTTAGTTTTTTTGTGATTTTTCCAGTAAAATTGGACTGGTTGGTTGATATTCTACCCAATATACCAGTACTGTTTCAGTGGCCGATTGCCAAAACTGGTATCAGACTCTGAGTCAAATCTTTGACATACTACGAGTTCTGGTCCAACAGTAAGATATGTCCTTGTGACTTGGCTGTCAAGAGTTTGAATTAGCAAAACGGCTTCTTTGCTAGTGTAAAACCGTACAAGCTGATCCTCCCCCAAATCTTGCATTGACAGAAGCCTTATACACTAGTTTGCCATTTGAAATAGGCTATTTGCATGTTGGGGAAGAGCTGTGAGTATTAGATTTTCCTCGTTATAACAGGAAGATGTCTGCTTAAAGTTTTCAAGTAATCTATTCATTTTGATCTTAGCTTACTGGTAAAAAATTACATAATAGAATTCAAACAGCATTAGATATCTAGTCATTCAAAGATCTTTAATAAGAACAAAGATTACAATCTGGAGTGTTATAGTTTAACTTGATCAGACTGAATAATTTGTTGGATCCTTTTGTAATTAGCTAACAAGCCAATCCTGTGAAAAGAGTAAAAACTGTCCTCTTGTTGGGGGATGCAGACCTATTCTGCAATCAGTATATTGAGATGATGGATTTCAATTGAATTTGCCTGGTTTTGAAGCATCCTTTTCCCATTTGATACTTCTGCTCTAGAATTCCCTAATCATCTTATTACTTATAACATTGGGAACAATTCTCTTTAGGCACCAGTGCTTGTTAAAATCTAGTCTGGTCATGCTTACAAGCGACTTATTTTCTTCTCAAAAATGTAATTTGGTCATATTTTATTTCTTTTGTGTGCCTGTGTTGCTTTTTGGTCTTGTTAAGTCCTTGTATCTGCACTTGAGTATTGTAAATTTCAATGGGAGCAATGGCACCTAATTAGCCCCTTTTGTTCAGTTTGGCCAGATTTGAGGAGCTTTGCCATCAATAGAAGCTATATTTCAGAAATCATGTGATAAAAAGATGTAGAGTTCATGATATAAAAAGTTGAGTTTACATTGCACCAGTTATGATGCACAGGTAAGGATTTGACTTTTTTCCCTCCCCTATTTGTCACTGTTGCTAACTTTAACTTATCCTGATGAAAATTTATTTTGACAGAACAGATATGGGCAGAGGACATGTATAAGTTCCTGGGTTGCTGTTCAAGAATTTTGATGTTTGTGTTATTAGACATTTTATATCACTGCATTTCTGCTGGCTATACATCGAAGGTAACTTTTCTAAGATGGTTCACTTGGTGCAATTTTGTGAATAGTTGACTAAAAATTTATTATGGTAGAATAGCTATGATGCAAAACAGTAAGTGGTGATTCCATAACCTTGAGAATTATCACCATGTCAATTTCGAAATGGAACTTCAACTAGCTCCATCGCTAGTATCATTTGTGATGAAGTACCTGAGCTCAAGGTTTGCCTTTTCGGGTCTTGGATCCATTTCGACAAACTGTTGAACGGTATGTACCAGTATGTACTGGTGTATTAACACATGGCACGCCGGTATGTACCGGTGGCTCGGCGACGAAGAAAAAGAAAGAGAAGTGGAAGGAGTGGTAGAGGAATCGAGGAAGGAGGAAGGAAGGAAGAGGGAAGAAGAGGAAGAAATGGAGGAAGAAGAAGGAAAAAGAAAGAAGAGGAGGAATAGAGCAATGGCAGTGACAGCGGGGACAGGGAGGTGGTTCCACCTTACGCGACAACAAAGCAACAACAAAGCAATGGGGAAGTGGTGATGGCGAGGTGGTGACATCTTACGTGATGGTGATGCGGCAGCGGTAGTAGAGGCGAAATGATGACGATGAGGTGGTGGCACCTTACATGACGGCGAAGTGGCAGCAGCAACAAAGGCAAAGTGGCGACAGCGAGGCAATGACACGTTACACGAGAAGAGAGCTCGTGAACAATCTTTTTTTTTCTTTTTTACACTGATTTGGACATGGGCCCCACCATTTATTTGAATATTTTTTAAATTTAACTGGATCACTTGGTACAAGGTGGTTCGTGTATCGGTCCCTTGTCGAACTGGTACATACCACCCATACTAGGTGGTATACCACGGCACAACAAACCCTGCTTGAGCTTCTTCTGTGTCTACCTTATATAGTATACATTTCTTGTGTACATATGTTTTGCTTAATTTTATCATAGAAAGTACTAATACTTCTTTACCCTACTTTTTCACGATTCAATATTTCTGTTTGACTTACTGTGTATCCTTTTACTCTTATAGAAGGAAGTTATAACTTGGCAAAACTGATAAAGTTGTCTTTTGGACTCCCTGGAACCTGACTTCCTTATTTAATGCTTTTGCAGATATCGACTATATAGAGAACCAGCGATGTCACTATCAATATATACAATGTTGAAGATTTTACCTTTCAAATGAACTTTGATGACCCCTTGATATGTTTCCATTCCATCTTTATTGCCTTAGGTGTTATCTTGTATAGGTCTTTGACTGTAGCTGACTGGTGCTTGCATAATGTTTGATAGCAATTGCTAAGTACCACAAACATAGATATTGGTGGCTTCAGTGAAGTCATTGGGCGCCTAGGCACCCATACAAGGTGTGGTGAGGCCCGAGTGCCGACCTATTGGGTTGGGCAGGCGACTTGACTCTAAGCGCGGCTGAAGTGCTGGGTGGGCCAGGCACTCGCCTGGATCAACAGGCCAGGTTGAGCCTAAGTCAAATTAAAACATTCATTTGGTTCAATTGAACCAGGTATCCGTCGCATATACCACTAGCAACAAGTGCCCTAACGCAAAAGTCCTTATTCCCCAATTGCATTTCTCACAGCGGAGTTCTTCCCATCGGCAAACAACAGCATTAGCGGCAATGATGGCATCTTTCTCCAGCAGTAGCGATGTCTTCCTCCAGCGACAACGGTGGGTCTTCCTCCAATGGTAGCAGCGGCGTCTAACTCTGGCGGCAATGGCGGTGGCTTCTTCCCCTTCCTCGAAGTATATCTCTCTTTCTCCTCCTTCCTCCAACCTCTGCCCTGTTTACCACAGCCTTCCTACGTTCACTGTAGACCCTCGTCTCCCCACCTCTTCCCCTCTTCTTCGTTCACTGCTGCCCTCCTACCGTCGTACATTCCTCGCTCTTCCCTCATTTTTGATGTGTCAAATTTGGAGTATTAGGAATTGTTTCTTTGGATGTTTTTATGCTTGAGTTTTTGATTTTTTTATGAAATTTCTAGTGGTTATGTTTTCTACCCGATCAATGGTAATTGGTTTGGAATTTGGTTTTACAAGAATCTAGTATGCATGCAATGAGTGTTTGTTGCTTATTGTTGATTGGGTGGAAAGCTTTTAGTGGAAATAACATTTGAGAATTCCCCACATAAAGTGGGTCTGTGCATTAGTTTGTATGAGTTCATTGGACACCTGATGTTGTACCAACAGCATTAAGGAGGTACTGTGCATACATAAGATACAACTTTGTGCATGTAAAGTTGCACATCATTGTGCACTGCATGAGTTGAGAATAGCAGCTGCCTGCTGTAGTGTAGTTTGGTACTTTAAATGAATGCATGTTGGATGTGTTATTTTAGTTTTAATTTATTTTTATTAATTATGATATATAATTTTTAAATTATAATATTCGAGAATATGTCGTTTCACTCGGGTGAGTGCCTAATGTCTCAGACATTTTAGGAATGTGGTGCCTTTTGGTGCCTAGCGTTTTCAACTACACTGGGTGGTTTTTGATTTTCCAGCTACCTTTTCTATAATGTGATTATGTCAGCATGTGGCATATGTCAACTTTCTCTGATGCACCTGATTCAACTGCAGGACTGAGAAATATTCACTGCTAAATGTGTGTACAAGAGTTGTGATTAAGCATGCTCCTATGCTGTCAATGGTATTGCTGGGAGTATTTGAATTTTTGTATGTGATGGATCTTGAACTCGTCACGCTATCAAGACAGCTATAACATATGCAATAGATCATCGAGATGGTTTAATTGTTCAAGTAAATTTCATTATATCCCAATTGATTCGCAAGAATTTTTTTTTTTGAATGAATTGACTTGAGCATTGGAGGATTTTTGTTGGTCCTGTGGTGACATTGTTTATGTTTTATCCGAAAGTGATTTTATATCCCAATTGATTCATAAGTTTTTTTTTTTTTGAGTGAATTGACACAAGTATTAGAGGATTTTTGTTGGCCCTGTGGTGACATTCTTTATGTTTTATCCGAAAGCGATTTTATATCCCAATTGATTCACAATTTTTTTTTGAGTGAATTGACTCAAGCATTGGAGGATTTTTGTTGGTCCTGTGGTGACATTGTTTATGTTTTATCCAAAAGCGATTTCAATCTTGAGAATATCTCTGTTTGTCTCAGCTTAGTTTGTGGCTTTGTCTATTATTAACTTATACTAAATTGGCTCAAGACAGGCTCTTGTAATGTAGTTTAACAAGATCAAATGTGGTCTCATCATCAAATTGCATCATTGATTGATTCATGGATACTTGTTAATGCAGGTTCGCTGGGGATTTTCGTGTCTCAATGAATCCAGACCTCGAAGAACAACACCCGAGGATAAGATTTTGTCGAAGCATATCCGCATGTGGCATTTCCAGGTTCGATTAAACCCGATTGTGGTTCCAGAATCGGATTGATTCGAGAAGGTTCAACTTACGAAGATGGAACACATGCTGCATTCCTGTGGTTCATCCAAGCTTATCGTCGTCCTCAGGCATGACAACCTCCACAAGCTATTTCTCCTCTTCCGTTCATCCAAGCTTATCGTCGTCCTCAGGCATGACAACCTCCACAAGCTACAACCTCCACAAGCTATTTCTCCTCTTCCGTAATGGATTCTGATTTCAACTGATTCGAACCGTGATCACGTCTTGGTTCCATCATAGTAAATGCTTTATTCAATTTTCCATTTGCAAGGCATCCCATATGCTGTTCGATAGCAATTAGATGTTGCTGAGGGAAAATTGTTTGATTGTATGTATGATCGATCATATGATCAGAAGTGAAAGAATGACTCGATAAGATTAAAAGGTACGGTGGCCAGAGTATCAATATTAATGTATTTGGATCGATCACTTGTTGAGGGCGTAATGATAATGATCTTTATGATGTGTTAACAACCTGATGCGTTATTCATCCATTAAAACCAAACACACAAGTGAAAGATGTCAGGTCAAGAACAAAAGTCTAATCAAACTTTGAAGCACCTCATAATTTAAACAATTAAACATCAATGTGTCCTCTGGCAACAAGAAAAGTGTGAGGCCAAACATGACATGTACAACCGGAGATGTGAATGAAGAAAACAGCGATAAAGGCAGTATATGGTTCACAGATTCACATAAAAATGCAACCTCAACTAAAAACGGCAAGGCAATGCAGTTACTAACGAAAGATAACGGTGTAAATAGATAATAAACATCGCGCTCGCTTACTTAAAAAGGTTTGACAGCACACGAGAATGCACCGAGCACAGACATTGCATTAAGGTTGTATGCACTTTACCTGAATACATGCCCTACCCCTCGAGATCAGGGGAAGACGAGAACTGGGATTTTGACACCCCATGTCTGCAAAAGGGAACATCCTGCACACTAGTGTTAGTGCAAGATGGACTTTGTCTCCGTGTCTTGATCCATCAACCACAAATTTACATGGCATAGACCATCTCTCCACTACTGTCAACGTCGAGATCGGGATCAGAGTCCAAATCCTCCATATCGTCATCGTCGATGTCGAGGCTGTCCGTCAGGTACTGATTGAGGCCATGGGTGCCAGCTGCAGGTATGGTTGCCTCGGCTAAGATCTGCATTATCTCGTCGATGCTTTGCATTGGTTGGTCAGGCTCCTCGTACTGGTTACTCGTAGTGTTGTCATCCATCATATCAGCGGGGAGGTTCTTCAAGAACCACTCGTGGTTGCGTATCTCAGGAATCGTGATCCTCTGCAGATTAACATATTTGACGGATTGCACAAAGTGAACCAATTGTCGAGTTTTAAGATCCACAATAAGAAATCGACCTTGGAAAAAGTAAACCACTCATAACAATATTATTTTTAACTGTTTAGAGATTATTAATTTTAATAACACATAATGAATGAACGAAATTTATTCTCACAGATTCAGAATAGTTCAGGTTTCAAAAAGAATAAATATCTCACCAGATATGCATACAGAAACACAAAGAGGCAATGCAAGTCAAATCCTAAAAATTGTACACAATAACAATACAATCACTATCGTCCCAACCTAGAGCAATGAATTATTCCAAACATGTCCCTGTATGTTCCTATCCATACCATTCTTATGTAATGCCATATTGCTTTTAACATCAAACAATTATCGTTTTAACCAGATCACAAGTTCTGTAACTAATGAAAAAAAGCAGGCAGGTTTGACATTAGTCTTTTAACACTATATAGCATATAAATCTACTTACCATTTGCCCTAATTAACAACTTGATCATAAAGTGCTTACAGTAGCAGGATTGGCGACAAAAATCCTTGAGATGAGGTGTCTACACTCTGGAGAAATGTGAATATAGTCTGGAATTGAATACTGAACACTCAATATACGCTGCAACATGAAGTAGCCAGGTCAGGTGAGATAATGCAATGTCCAGATGAAAAAGAGTCGAGAACCATCATTACCTGTATCGTCTTCCGGAAATTTTTAGGCTCCTCAGGATCCTCAAAAGGATATGCGCCCACCAGCATTACATATAGAGTAACTCCACAAGACCACACATCAGCAATCTACAAAAGCCCCACAAATATTGAGGAAGAGCACAAGAATAGTTGCATAATCATGGTAATAGGAGAAGAAAAAACAGTGTTATATATACAAGAATGGCTACATGATTTGAGGTGAACCTTACAATTTTAAGTAAAGACAAGCAACAATAACAAAACTTGTAAAAAAATACTGTGATCAAGAAACAATACATGAATTTGCAACTGATACTAAAACAGCATCTAAGGAATAGGAGAATATGCGATAAGAAGTCTGGCATGGACGATCCTCTCTTTAAACTAGCAAGCAGAGTAAAATGCATGTACCAATTTTTGGATGAAACAAATAAGAAAATGGTGTATATTTCAGTGATGGAATAATTCTTCAAAATCTTTAAAGACAGAATGGGATGATCCAACAGGAGCCTACTATCTAAAAGATTGTTCTAGCTCTGAATTTATGTGCGTGAAGTTGTAAGATCTGAAAATTACAGTGGTATCACTAGTAAAGAAATAGATCATGACACAATTGTCATAAGGTGACGCTACCATCTATTCAGCTAATTAGCTTGGCTGCTTATATCTGGAAACAGATAAATGCATTGAGGCTTCTAAATATCTTTGACCTGAACATTGTTACTACACATAAATCACTATCTTCAGTATCAAAAAAAAAAATTGTCATGACAGTTAACGCTTAAAAAAAAATTACCTTGCCATCATATTCCTTCTTGAGTAGCACTTCGGGAGCAATGTATGCAGGAGTTCCAACAGTTGACTTTGGTTGTGAATGCAGAACTGATGACTGAAAATGCAGTGTGTTAGTAACTTCAGTTCCATAAAGAAATATTAGAGCTCCCTACTTCATAGTAACCAAATACTGATTTGTACCTTGGAATATCCAAAATCACATATCTTTAAACGAGGTGCAGTACTCCCATCTAATAAGGTGTTTTCCAGTTTCAAATCACGGTGACATACTTGCTTGACAATAAAGAGATCCCCAAAACAAAGTAAGTCAAAAATGAAAATACAAACACGAAAAAGCTAGTAAATAGTTTCATTAGCATACCATAGAATGGCAGTAGCTAACTCCTGATATAAGTTGTTGGAAGAAGAATCGTGCCTTCAACAGGAAACGCATGAAGTTGGAACTAGTCAAAGTATTAAATACTATAAAATGAAAGAAATGAACTAGAACCTCATCCTCACTGAAACGCCCAGCGTTGCAAATACGCTCAAAGAGCTCACCACCAGAGGCATATTCCATAACAATAGCCAAATGAGTTGGAGTTAATATAACCTGAGAAAGTTTGTAGTGCCATTAACAGATGGAAATATTGCCATTTATTTCCTAAATGCAAGCAAGAAATGCCTTCGGACATGAACTTACCTCTTTGAACCTGATGATATTTGGATGCCTCAATGATCTGTGGTTAATTATCTCTCTTTGAACATTTTCATCTATCTGTACTAGAGAATGTAGTGCAATTAAGATAGAACCATTAAAAAAGTTATGTTCACGCATAGCGTGCGAGACAATATTTATCTCAGATTTAATGTTCCAGATGTCACACATGTAGCTTCCTCAACTGATAGAAAATGAAATGACCAAAAAAAAAAAGAATCCTTAGGTATGTTTCAAATCACCAATGCCCCTAGCCAATGCAACATATTGCCATCGATGAAGATTTATAGAGAAACTGAATATAACTGATACTTCCAAATATTAGAAAAACTTCTGTTGTCCACGAAGAGTAAAAACCCATAAAATCAAATAATATCAGTTCAAAAAAAGCATGCCTAAAACCCTCATCCTGAACATAATTTCTATCAAAGGCAGCAACTAATCCATTCACCCAAGAGTAACAAGATTTTTATTACAGCAAGTACCGAGGTGCTGAAGTGTTAAAATTGACTAACACTGAAAAACGAGTCATCCGAATTAGAGCATATAACATGTCCGATTAGTTGCATTAAGAAATCCCCCTCTACTATGCATGTAAAGAAGGGGGAGATCTTGCCATCTACTAAGCTGTAGCCAATCAACCACTAAACTGTATAAAAAAGCATCAACTGCTAAAAGAATTTAACCTCAGATGATTAAAATAGAAATTTGAGGAAAAGGGAGGCATATCCGTAGAAAATTTTTATAGTCAACTGAATTGACCGGAAAAATCAGCAACCAACCGACCTTCTCGCCTCTCTCGATGTACTTGACGGCGACCAGCTCTTTGGTCTGCTTGTCCCTCATCAGCCTGGCGATTCCGAAGTTCCCTGAACCGATGTCCTTCACCAGCTCGTACCGGTCACTGTCGTGCATTATCGGCATGTCCATCCCCGGACCGATCGTCACCGCCGCTCGATCCATTCCGCAGCACCCCTCTTACATCAACCTTCTCACCGGAGCCCGATCAAATACTGCCCCACCGTCCGATCGTGGCGCTAGGAGAGCCACTGGCCCGATCGGTGGCGGAAAGAGACGGCTAACGATGCGAGCGCGCCCGCGTCCGTGACCGGCCCGATGCCGTGCTCGATCAATCGCTGTGGCACTCGGATCGATCCCCGCTTCCTCTCGCCTTTTCGATTGCTTTCGCTATCGCCAGGGACAGGGTTTTGGGATCGAGGCGGTGAGAGTGATGGTGAGAGGTCTCGTGACCGCCTTTTACCTTCGCCGCTCCTGCGACCGCCCAACGAAACGGAGAGGCGGTCGCAAACCGACATAACGGTATCTGAAAAGACGATCTCACCCTCATCGCTTCCTCTGCTGATCACCACCATAGGATCCCAATCGTACAGTTAAGCACAGTTTGCTCTTTTCTTTATAAGATATAATGCATTTATATCAAGATTGGGCTGGGCTATTAGGGAGCCAAAGGCCCAACGAAGGTGGGCCATAAAACCTTATAAGGAAAAGCCCAATAGGATGAGTCTATAAAAGCAGATGACGAGAGGGTGGGGAGGGACGGGAGGGCGTTAGAAGGGGGAGAGGGGCGATGGTGTCGGACGCGGAGCTCGTTGGGCGGCTTCGGGAGGTACTCCGGGCCTCCGACCTCTCCACCACTACTACCACCTCCGTTCGCCGCCAGCTTGAGGAGGACTTCGGCATCGATCTCTCCGACAAGAAGGCCTTCATCAGGCAGCAGGTCGACCTATTTCTGAGCGAGCTTCACGACAATAAGGACGCCGAGGAGGCGGAAGAGGAGGAGGAGGATGCTGCGGCGCCGGCGGAGGCCGTGAAGGAGGAGGAGGAGGAGGAGGAGGACCATGACGGTTCCGGAGAGGAAGATGAGGAAGAGGAAGAAGAAGCGGGAGGTATTGGGGAGGTTTTGGATGAGGAGGAGGGAGACGAAGGGGAGGAGGACGACGAGAAGACTAACGAGGGAAGCAGCAAGAAGAGAAAGTGAGTTCTTTATTGCCGTTTTTCCCCTCTTTTTGTTAGGTATTAGTGGTCTTATTGGGCAAGTTGGGTTTAATTAGGGTTTTCAATCAGCAGCCAGGTTAAACATAACACCTTTCGTTTCCGCGTATCATTTCAAGCGAGGTAAGGTATCTGTGAATTAAGGACCCGAAATGCCCTCGGTTGACCTTGACTGACGTTTTCATATTTTAGGTAAAATAGAGGACCTGATGAGTTGGATTGAATAGAAAGTTTGTGCATTATATGCTTTCTTTTTCCTCCAATTAGTGCAATTTGTGCAGTGAATTGTTTGGGCAGTCCAACAGTCTGGCATTGTTTTAGTGTTCTCTAAAGAGCACTAATATCATCATTGCTTTTCGTAGTATTATTTGTCATACTAGAAGATGATGATCATGATCTTCAATCTTCATAAGTTTTCTTTGTGTTTAACAGTGGGATTCTATATGAAACCTATTTCTTTGATTTTGGTTTTATGCGCTATTTGAGTTTGATGGAATACAAATAAACAAATTGATAGATGAAACATTTGTAGTCTAAGCATAGTAAATTTCCATTTCAGCTCTCCTTCATTCTGTCATCCAAAAGAGAGTTAACACATAGTAGCACTGCACTTGGACACTTGTTGCAGTAGTTCTCCTTTACAGTACTTTACCCAAACAGAACACCTGTTATGATGATTCTTACTTATTGGGTGCTATCTAAAACGTATGATTAAGCCCTTGGAACATGCTGTTCCCACTGTCATTTGCTAGCTAACAGAATGCTAATGTGTTAAGATACTCCCATGTCATGGAAAAACATAAACTGAACACGTTGCAACTCATATTGCATGCTTATGTTGCCCCCGTTGTATTTTTTCAAGACATGGTTAGAGATTAAAATTTTCATTAATGAGGCTTAGTTCTTGATATTGAAGGTAAAATATGTATGGATTTACAGGAAGGATATCAAATCATTATAGTAGAACATTGCTTGATTCCATTTGTCTACTTAGGTCATAGTAGCAGTTTCTGTCAGTGGTTTGCCTGTATAAGCCATGATATTACATTCGGTGTCTCTTCCTCTTGATATGCATAAAATATATTTTCTTTCCTTCCTTCTTTTCCTCCAAGCATTGTTTCTTTGTTAAACCTGTTGCCTAACATCTATAGAGCCTTCAACTTGTTAGCTATTTGTGATTATCTTATGTTATCCTATACCTAGTTTTAGCATAATGCTGACCCTATATGTGATAAATATTTAGTTGAAAATAGCCACTTTTGATACATAGTTAAAGCCTTATGCCCTCCTAAGACTTAATTGGAGCCTCTTGCAAGGTTGTGCTTTTGGCCCATGCATTATGTTGCTTCATCAAGTTGATTCATGTTAAGCCCCTCTACATTTTCAGAAGTTAGGCTATGTGCATCAAATTCGCTATAGGTCCATGCAATGAAAGGCCTCATGTGTTGGACTGCTATGTGGGAGATTGATTGAACTCTTTCACTATTGAGTATAAGTGAAATATATACTGTGAATCTCTTTGATCATTTTAAGTATCTCCAATAATTTGTTTTCTTTCTTTTAGACATAGTGATCTTTGACTCCAAAATGTAGACCCATGGTAAGTTTGTCTTACATATTGAAATACTTGATGGACAATTTTTAGATACTCTTAATATTATGTGAATAAGGAAACATCACATATTATGATCTTATAGATGTCATCTAAATTTAAAGTTAGTTTTGGAATAAGTCAATTTAGAAATGGTGGAGAGGAGGAAGCAAGACACCTAAGCAAACTTACTGGAAACAACAAACAGTATGCTTGCTTTTAGTTTAATGAAGGATATTGCTATACACAAAGCTCAGATGGCTGGGGACAGTCAATTTATGTAGCCTTGTCCCTGCAAACTGGAAGGATAATTTTGTGACTTTAGCCCTGGTCACCCAAATTGCAAATGAGCTATCTCCCTGTCGTCCCCAGTCTTGCTTTCATTGCCATACACAGAACTTAATGAAGAGAAAAGATCCATGAGGCCAATCTCAATAGTTGGAAGTTGGGACATTATGGCTGTTTATTCTTCTTGTTGTTCACCAGTTCTGGTATCTCCATCCCCTAGTTTGCTTTAGTATTAATCTTAAGATAAAGTTTGTCTTTTAGAGCAAAAAGCTCTTATCCTTTGAATTTTGCCGGTGCTTTAGCAGCGATGAGGATCGTTTGACCTTTACTGTGATGAATTAGTCCCATGGGCATTTGGTTTTCTTTTCCCTCCATTTTGTTTTCTACAGAGCTTTGCTGGGGATTGGGTTGGGTACTACCAGTTACCAGTGTTATTTAGGATCTTCACCCTACTTTGACTTACTGATGATGCATTTGGTGATATTGGGCTGGCACAATATGGTATGTTTGCTTGCTGGATGGATGAGATTTAGATTAGAATTCAGAAGCACTTCTGAATGGTGTGGAGTATGAAGTGCTTACATTCTTTTATTCGTTATGTGCGCTAAGATGTACTTGCAATCTTTTCAAACCAAATAACACTCTTGTTGGGCACCGCATCATTTTCTGTATATAAATTCTAGAAAGCTGTAGGGAGCAGTTAAATAATAGTCTGCTGACTAAGAGCATTTGGCACTAAAAATTAGGTCCTTTTCTTGGGAACATGATGGCATATGCATTGATTAGATTAACCACTTGCAGTATTTAGTCAAATCCCTAGGAAACTGGCTATTTGCAATACAAGGTATAAGCTATCAATAATATGTGCCAACTTATGTCACAAAAAGTTCCATGTATGTGACTGCCATGGATGCTGATGGTTATGCTTTGAGATCACAGCCCAGCTTGTTATCAGCCGCCTTAATCCTTTATCCTACTATGTCGCCTTTTCAGCGAAACTTGGTTTTTTACTGAATGGTTTTGTCAATTTTTTCTACAAAATATATCTTTGCTTTAGCTCCTGTTGGTTATCTCATATATTTGGGGCCTTCTAGATTAAAATAATTAAAAAGCTTTTTTTTTGGGTTATACTGCAGTGTTGTTTACCTTGCAATTTTGCAGTCTCAACAATTTTCTGATGTTTTTAAGAGATCTTAGATTCTCTTTGATTGTGGTTCATGTGCCCAATTATCTGTGAAAACCCTAGAAAGCATTTTATCTCAATTTCTTGTTAATTTTTTCTTCGTTATAGTCTGTATATTTTCTTTTTTTTTTCCTTGGATGAAGTGTTGCATAGGTATCCTAAACATGTTTTCTTTGTCTTATTAATGTAAGATCAAGTAAACCTAGTAAGGAAGTCAAGAAGCGGGGAGGTGGTTTTGCCAAACTCTGTAGTCTTTCCCCTTTATTACAGGATTTTGTTGGTGAACCAGAGTTAGCTAGAACTGAGGTAATTCTTATCAAGTATGGTACAGTATCCCCCATATAAATATTTATATTTGGTTACATAGTGTTTTTGGCAACAAAGTAACCTATTTTTGCCCTTGTCATGATCATTTCTATTATGTATATTGTTTCAGGTTGTTAAGAGGCTATGGGCATATATTCGCGAAAAAAATTTGCAAGACCCAAATAACAGGCGAAAGATCATATGTGATGAGAAATTGAAACCCCTTTTTAATGTGAATGTCATTGACATGTTTCAAATGAATAAAGCTTTGTCAAAACACATTTGGCCTTTGAACTCTGATGATGGTAATCCACAAAACTAATTTCTTGGTCAATGATATTATATGAGGTCTTTCATGTATGTTGTACTCTTGTTATTTTCTAGTTACAAATAAGATGCACTTTAGAAGTAGTTAGTACCTTTGAATGAAGGAATCTGTTTGTGCATGTTAAGGCAGGGATACATGTTTTCTGCATGTTCTTAATCTAGGTTTCCTCCTTGATTACATGTTTTAGTTGGTTATAGTAATGAACTAGAAAGTTTTCCAAGACTGTGCGTGGTAGAAATGTCACTAGGGAGACCTTGTGATATCTCAATGTGGCAATTTATGTTTACCAAATGAAAGAATGATAATGTTCCCTTGTTCTTGTGCAACAGTGAGATAAAGATATGAAGGGTAGATTCCAAAAGGCAAAGTGTGGTAGGCCTGGTAATAAGTTTGTGTTTCTATTTCGTTGGTCTCTGACAATAAACAAACTTTCTTTATTTGCTCATGTTATAAGGACCCAAGTATTATAAGTTCTTATGTTCATGTATGTTCAGTTCTCTTGGCAATTTTATTTTAAGCCTAGAGGGCTTGTCTCCTATGAAGTAACTGTCATATTTCTTGGAGCCTCCCAAATCTTTTGTACAGGAGCTTCCCCTTAAAGAATGAGGGTTGTAATTGCTATGCCTAAATCCAGGTTTTAGGCCTTTCTAACAGGGTTATTCAAATTTTTTTCCTCTTTTCTGATTTGCCTTATAGGGTTTTAAAGTGCAGACAAATGCTTAGACTCACGTATACTAGCTTGTTTTATTCGGAGCTGCACGTAGATATCTTTGTCTTTGGAGGTGAGTACATACTCATTGAGAGGTTGGCATATGTTTCCCTTCATCAAAGTTCAGCATAATTGTTCTGCTAATTTGTGTTACCAGTGGGATTGGTTAATACAATTTTTTGTGCTCTCAAATATGTTTAACTCTGGGTTGTAGAATATTTTTTGTGCTGTTTGTTAGTAAAATCTCCATGCAAGAATCATTTATAGAAAATGGTTATGTTTCTCCGATATCCCATACTAAAAGTCTGAAAAGTTAATGCAACAAACTGCCTGTAGAACACCGAAGTCCATCACAATCTCTTTTTTAAATTCTGCCCTATATTATTGGTTTATTATTTTCTTATTACATACCTCAGATTAAAGAATAATGGTTTTGAATCTTATTTCTGGGGATGTCTTCTTGACTTGTCCATAGGCTAAATGTCATGTGCCTAACATTTTTAAATTATGGGATGCTCCGAATACTTCACTTGACTAATATCTGATATACTTTTGTGATTGAGCAGGCCCAGTGACTTCTGCGAAGCCAAAACAGCATGATAAGCCCAAGAAAGAACTAGAAGGTTAGGATGATTTACTGCTTATGCTATATCGTCAAACTGTTGGCAATATAACTCTGTAAACTCATTGGGCTTGCTTTCACTACAATAGGCAAGCGGCAAAAAGTAGGATCATCTGGACTTCTTGCGCCACTTCCACTTTCAGATGATCTTGTGAAGTTCTTTGGCACTGGCGAAAATACATTGTCAAGGTCTGATGTTGTGAAAAGGATGTGGGATTACATAAAAGGAAACAATCTGCAGGTATATTGCTGTGGTTGCGTGGGAAAATGCATTATGCCATTTGTGTATTATTGACTTGCTCAGTCCTGAAATAATAAATTGTTCCTTGCTATCTATTTATTACTAATGGAGGATACTTAAAACCACCATGGCGAATGTGTTTCTTTCTCTGCTTTAGTGACCAACATAATGTGTTTCATTTGCATAATTATAATGCTAACAACTAAATTCTTGTTCTTGGGCAACCACCTAAAATTACTATAAATGAATTGCTAAAACTGCAGAACAGGACTTTACTCGTAATTGATCTTAGCTATGATAGTTGTTATTTTTTTCTTGATAAACCTTCACTGATCTCATGTATGGTACTTAAAAAATATAGATAATATCATGAAGCATCATAAATAACTTCTCGCAATTAGCAGTATTGCAGTGTGAAAAATCATGTAACGAAAAACTCGTGTTATGTTCACATGGAATATCTCTGTAACATATTCATCTTGGCTATGCTGTACTTGTAGTTGCAACATCCTTTTGCTATGCATATTAAGGTCTATTTGCGGTGTCATAATCAATCCTTGTCATTCTGTTTTGCATTTGATGTGATTAATATCTTAGCATCTTCCGTTGTCTGTCCAAGGATCCTGCTGATAAGAGGAATGTGATATGCGATGAGAAGCTAAAAGAACTTCTCAAGGTTGATAGCTTCCATGGATTCACAGTTTCAAAGTTGCTGGCACCTCATTTCATCAAGGAAAAACAGTGAGATGTACCTTCTAATATTTCTCTAAAATCCATGGAAATGGAAATTTTGTCCTTAGTGAACTTGAACTTTTCATGATTAAATATTTTGGTGCTTCAGAGTGGCAACAAACGGTTGACAAATTGCTTTATCATCTTCTTACACTGTATGACTATAACTACTGAACTTGTTTTGTTCATAGAGTTTCAATGTCACAATATTGAATTCATTTTCTAATCAGCTGGTAAAGGATGATCAAATGGATCTTTGGCTGTTTTTCAAATCATATACTTCTTACCTACAGAATTAGCAGTTTAAATTACAAATTCCTGCATTAGATATTTCAGATCATGATGCGGCCAGCAACAGCAACAAATTTATGTTTACTCAGTTTTGATTGCTGATATTAGAAAAGTGATAATTAAGGTGCTTCTTTGTCACACCTACAGAGAGAGAGCAGGTTGAGAAGAACCAGAGGGTATCATCAACAGTTTCTTTCTTCCTTGTACATCTTTAACTCTGTTTGAGGTAGAAATTCTGGGAGCATGACATAGAGCACATGTATTAGGATAAATCATCCAAATTCTATGGACTCTCTCAAAACTGCCCTGCCATTTTTGGTGGATCATGGAGGCAGAACCAACCTGCCATCAATTGATTCTGATGCAGCTGGAATGGATTCTGGATAATATTGTTGGTAAGCTCAAAATTCACTGTCCTCAAGAGTTTGATTTTCCAAACATCCTCTGTTGGTTATCAGCTGCTTGTCAACTTTTTCGATTTGTTCTGCTCATTTATGGTCTTTGAAATCCTCATGCATTAAGAGTTCTTGTGTTTGCATATTTTTTAGTATCTCACAGTGAAAAATGTTGCGCTACTATCTCATCCAAAACCTTCTTACTACTGCCACCATTTCTTCCACCACTAGCATTATTTTGATGTACCATGAGCAGTAGTATTATGCTTATGTTGCCAGCATGATAATTATCACAATATAGATTCATTTTGTGGTTTCATGCTAAATTTCGTGTATATGCCAGCTTCTATTTTTCTTTGCATCTTTGGAAATTTAAATTAAGCATTGTTACCTTATCATTTATTTTTATGAAAAATCATGTTTATGACATTTGATCTTCTTTCCTGCCCATGAAGGTTGTGCTGAAGTCAATCTTCCATGTTGTTGATATGTTTTACATGGTTGAAACAACAATGTGAACTTGTAGACATAATGTGCTGGTTTACTTAAATCTATCTATTGCTATTGTTTGACCATTTAGCACTCCTGTCATTAAGGATTTACGTTTATGGTGTTTCAGCTAGTGTTCTTTCAGGAAAAATAAATAAATGTGTTTTGGTACCTTTTTCTATGATGGAAGAGATTAGGTCTTTTAAGACAAGAAGGTTAAACTGTCCTTATGAGACAATTAGGATTAGTGGTGCCATGAGACTATAAATCAAGACTTATGAATCATTTATCAATTGATGTAACTATTGATAGAGTCAGGATGATTGTTGAGGCAAATCTTAGCGATGTAACAAAGATCCATCCTTTAATTTAAAGATTCTGTAAACATGAACTTAAACTGTTGTTAATTTAATTAAACATATTATTTTGTTAAAATCTCAACGATAGAACAAAGATCCATATTCAATGTAAGCATAATGAAATGCTAAATCAATTCAGCCTTCCCCATATTCAATATAAGCTTTGTGTTTTGAAGGCAGCATAAGAACTACTACATGGATTTTTCTTTTTCCTTTTTCCCTGATTCCATGATCCCTTCTTCCTCCTTTGCTCTCTGTGGGATTCTTTTGGTTGGGTGGGCATGTGGGTGCATATAGTTAGGTGGAAGTACAAGGAGCGAAGCAAAAAAAAAGACTTTTTGTTGGGCAAGGGAATAAAGGGCAGAGGTGGGCCCAGCGAACCAGAGTGAACCACTGGTAGTGAACCTTGGGCCCCACAGAGAACAATTCATGGGCCCACATAGGACGCTGCGAACCGATGCCGTCGCCTCCTCCACGTCAGAAGAATGCACTCAGTTCAGTTGCATATATATATATATATATATATATATATATGTATCATCTGGTGAGATTATATATAGATGCACATGTTCATGTAATAACTTTAGATGAGCAAGTAGGAAGAAGATTGGAAAACACGGGAGGGATATATGCAAGGCTGAGTGCATGATTCAAACATGTCAACCAAGTCCACAGGTTGGAACATCAAGCATCAAGCATGTAGATAGAACATGATCTTTTCTTGAAAGGATTCCAGTGGCATAGATTCCCCAATTACTTCATCAAAATGAGACCACTCTAAGGTATCAGTCAATCAAAATCACTGTAAATGGTGTGATAAAACCCTTTACAGAGAGAGAGAGAGAGAGAGAGAGAGATGTTTTCTTTGCTTACAATTTTCATCAAAACACCCTTTGTTTTCTTTTCCTATGGAAGAACCCTAGAGAGGAGGGGGAGAAAGAACCCTAAGAAGGAGGAGGAAGAGGAGATCTTTTCTTTGTTAGTCCAAACTTGATAAAAAAAACAAAAAAAGGATCATTGTTCTAAGGTACCAGTCAAACAAAGGCACTGTAGATGGTGAGTGATATTTCTGGCTTTCTGTTATTCTTCCTTCTCATATGGAAAGGAAGAAGCAGTCATAACTCAAGACTATGAGTGAGAAGAAAAGAAACCCTAAAAGCCAATCTTCCATGGAAGAATAAGATCTTTTCTATGCTTGGTGTATCATCTCTGGAACACAACCATGCAAGCTGACAAAGGAATTAGAGAATCGCCATCATTTTCTTGTGGGTGGCTGCTTGGTTTCTTGTGTTACTGCTGCTCCATTTCCATGCAATGATTTCTACTACTTCTTGGCCACAGCTTTAGGGTTTTGGTGGGTCTGCAATCCAACTCAGCATCCATTTGCTGATCATAAATTGAGAGATTCAACATCACCTTTTGTTCCCTCTCTCACCATGAAAAGAAACTCTTCATGTTGTCTCTTCTTGCAAGGAAATGGAGGGAGTCATGAATGGTTGTCATCCACCACATGATTTAACAGTAGATAAATTTTGATGTTAATTCTAATAGATATCATCTCCATAATAATACACAGTTAGTTTGTAAATGTGATGTAGTAGTAGCATCATTATACTTCCAAATTGACCATCATGCAAGTGAATTAGGAAGAAGACCTCATCAACTAGTGCTCCTTAAAAGTAGTATCCAAATGCCAACTCATCCTTTATCCACAATGACTGTGCTCCAAGTCCAAAAATTCCAAATTATTCTTTGGATTCCAACAATATTCTTCTCAAGGAAGCCAATTTTAGTTGTGCTTCTTCCATCCAATCTTATCCACTTAGTCATCAGGACAAGAGCCTATTGAAGATTTATTAGTATTGGAGGAAAGAAAATTCTTATGTTAATGTCAACTTTCATCTTTAACACAACATAATGATGAAATTGATTCAATCTGATCTATTTTTCAAACTTATCACTTAAGAAAATAAATTAATATGATATAAAATGATACATTTTATCATGCTTTCTTGCCTTTTTTTTTTTACTTATAATTTATTTATTTAAAATTATTAATTTAAATAAATCAAGTGTATATTCCCAAAGGTTTATTTGATTCCTAGACAACACCATCAGCCAATCATTAGAGAGAGGGAGAGAGAATAGAAGGAACTAATGAAAATAATACCAAGATTCTAATCCCGGTGAGTTGGAGCATCGCGTGTGAAGCGGTATCTGGATCCCGCCGATTTAATCGCGTCGAGTTACGCGGGGAATCCGCGACTCGAGCTCGTTAGTCTCCGGTCCATTTTGCCTCCTCCTTCCCGGTTCACCCGGAGCGGTCCGATTCAACTCTCCTCCCTCGTTATATAATGCTCGCTTCTCCTCTCCCTCGTAAAGGCGCCCGGAGAAGAAAGAAAGAGGTGGAGCGGCGATGGGCTCGGCGGTGTTCGAGATGGGACTGGAGTTGGAGCTGTGCGCCACCCGGGTCGTCGGCGACTTCGTGAAGGAGGTGTCGGCGATCGAGAGCGGCGGCAGCGGGCGGGCATCGAGGCTCGAGGAGTCCATCAAGTTCTTGGAGGAGGAAAAGCGAAAGATCGAGGCTTTTAGACGCGAGGTCCCCATCTGCATGCGTCTTCTTCGCGAGGGTTCGTCTGATGCTTCCTTTTCTCCTCCCTCATCGTTTTAAGATGTTGCTTTAGGCTATTCTCTCGATGTTAAAATCGGTTCTTTGGATTTCGATTGCAGTGATCGAAAGGTTGAGGATGGAGATCGAGCGGTGCCGCTGCGAGAGTTTTGGACATGTATTCGAGGAATTCATGCCTCTTAAGAGTAAAGTCGAGGACGATGGAGGGGTAAAAGTGGAAACGGATTGCAGAGATAAGATGAACTGGATGAGTTCCGTCCAACTCTGGAGCGATAATTACAGTGAGAACGATGACGAAGAGAAGATCGTGTCGAATGAGGTAGAAAATAAGGATTCTTCACGGAAAATGTTCGATCTTTGTTCATATCTTCGCGAGATATGTCTTAAATGGATCGCCTGGTTTTGATCGCAGCAAGATGGAGCGGTGGATCACAGACAGGGGAAGGGGAAGTCTCTAGAATGCAAGAGCCGGAGCAGCGGGGTCGAGTTCCTGCCATTTAAAGCTTTATCGCCTCTTGCTGCGAGCTCCGAGGAGGAGGAGGAGAAGCCCGCTTCTGCGTTGCCTGAGCTCTCGCTGCAATCACCGGCGATCAACAGAACCCTTGACCTTGTAACTCCGGTCGCTTTGGGTGACCACCGAGGCTTCGGTGGTTTCAGAAAAGCCACTGAGTGGGTGCCTGCGACCCTTGGCTTGCAGTCACGGCTGCAACCACCGAGGAAGGCGAGGAGGTGCTGGTCGCAGGAACTGCATCGCCGGTTCGTCCTCGCCATCCAACAGCTGGGTGGCGCCCAAGGTAAGAGCCAAGGTTCCATCTTTCCTCAATTATCATTGTAGGGTGCTATTAGTCGATTTCTATTAAGTTTTTCTCAATCTGTCTTCGATCCTTGAATCTGTTAAGCTTCTAAATTATTGTTCTGATATCAAAATTGCTCTTTCGCTTCACTTTGGACTTCTTCCTATGGAGAAAGAAGAACAATAAAATTGAAAGTAACACAAAGAAGAGTCATTGTTGTCTCATCAAAAGAGGTAGTCAGAATTTTGATACATGTTCTATCTGATCGAAATATCAGAAAAAATTCTGCGGAGTATATTGGTCGGAGAATGAAGTCCATAGGAAGGAACCTCTTCTTTTACTTGGATTTGACTGTTGGTGCTCATTGATGCAGTGGCTACTCCCAAGCAGATACGAGAACTGATGAAGGTGGATGGGCTCACAAATGATGAAGTGAAGAGCCATCTGCAGGTGGGTTCTGAGTTCCATTTGGGTTGACATATTGCTTCCTGATCAAATTTTCAGCTGGTTGTTGTTAGAAAGCTTTGTTTAATGATCTGTTCCTACCATTTCAGAAATACCGATTGCACACTGAAAGGGTCCACGCTCAAAGGCTTCCTAATGCTGTGGCTACGGCAGATCGAGCAGTTGTGGTTTTAGGAGGCCTATGGGATCGTGAGGAACAATACACTAGTTCCTCACAACAGAGTTTTTCGCAATCTGGGTCGCCGATGAGCCCATTTCAGTTAGCTGGCTCTAGATGAGCTCTGGCTAGAGATAGCTTTGAGGAAAATGGCAAATCAGAGAGCTATAGCTGGAAATTTGGAGGCTTTCCAGTACTCGGTGAAGGAGATCAATGTGTAGAGAGAGAGAGAGAGAATCAAAATTTTGCTGATACAATACAACTGGGGGGAAATGATGAGACTGGTGAGTCTTGATGCTCTCCCATCACTTCTTCCATTTACTTATTTGCCTTCTTAAATTTTGGTTTTTGGACACTAAGAAGGTTGTTTCGACACTGTTTGATCATTAGGAGAGTGTTATTTCCTTATGATGAAGTATTTCCAACATATTTTGGACATCATCATCCTTAATCCTTTTTCAACAGCTTGGTGTAATCATATTTGACATCTTTCTCCATCTGTTAAGTTTCTGTGACAGGTTACTCAAGGGATGAGATAGCAATAGAAGAGATCATGGACAAGAGAGACTTCTGGCACCAACAACATTTAATCATCCAAATCAGTGGTCCTGTCTGAAATTGTCTGGAATTCATCTTAAAATCCAATGCTCAGATCTGGCACTCACATTCCTGCTTCCAAGTCATTTTCCTGTGTGTGAGCTGACAATTTCATCCATGATTACACTGTTTCATTGCTATTTCTGAGGGACCACTTTGTCATTTTTCTTCCTGTAAGTTCATTTCTGTTTGTGCATCTTGGTCATCTAAGATCCACATTCTCTTGTTCTTATGTTAGTCTTTACCCCTGCAAGCAGAAAGACAGGCTTCAAGTATAGCATCTTCTCAAGTATATCTTTCTCCAAAGGACTTGCACCTCAAACAGATGGATATTTCTTGATATCTCCAGCTGTTGCAAAGCAAATCCAGACCATTCCCTGGTGCCCATCCTTTCTGTTCTTCTTGCATCACAGGCTGGATGGAGCCAGGCAGCTAACTTTAGCATCTTGCAAGCTATCTTTTTCTGAATTCATCTTCTTGTCCTGGCAACCATGTGGAGCCTGCACATTAAACTTCCAGCTTTTTTGTTGTCTACTGCTGCATCTAATTCCAGTCTTAGAACTACACAGATGCCTTGTTTGCTGCATGTCCACCTGAAACAAAGCCATCCATCAACTGTCTTTACAGTTTCAGGAGAACAGAGTCATCAACATAAATATAGGCAGACATCAAACTGCCATGGATCAAAAGTCCTGTTATAGTGTGATCTCACAAACTCTTATGTAGCAAGTGCTCCAATTGAGTTCAGCTGTTGTTTGGCTGTCTACCTTCTGAGGTTCTTCTTTGCCTACTACTGTTGGGGTTAATTAAGATTTACTGCTCCCTGTGAATCTTCAGTCAACAAAGCAACAGTCTTGAGAAGAGCTCAAAGAATCTGACCTTGGAAAAAGTATCGATATATCTTTTGGTTTTTGCTAAAGAAATGCCAAATTTCACAGCAGGATCACTGAATGCTCCAACAAGAGAAAGATAATGAATCAACTGCCTTCTTGTCCTAAAATCCTGTTTGTCTTCTTGCTTACACTAAATTCATATCACCACAATGCACATCCAAAAATCTTTAAGGTGGGACACAAGTGTCACTCTCAATGAGGAAGATTGGATCGCTTGATCAAGATCCAGATGTTGGGCTTCTCTTCTTTCCCTCCTCACAGATGCATAATGACCTACAAATAAGGGAAACAGAACACAACTGAGGTACCTCCACCTCTTCTTTTCCTCTGCTTCACCAAATCATTGGACCATAATGTCATGAATCAACCACTCAGATTGAAATCCAAGTGAAATGTTCTTGGAAATTCCATGGTTTGAAGCCGAGACACGTAGCGACCTCGTCTTGTTTGGCTGGCCATGTTTTCTTCCAGCTGAAGGAAGAACCAGTTGCATGCAGGTGAAGCTAATCCATGGAGGCAGATGAATTGTCACTGTTTCAGTAGATTACAGGGTATGAGAAAGGGCAAGAAGTTGTCTTTAATCTTCAGTGAAGGTGAAGGCTTTGAATTATTACTATCAAGAATACTTGGATACAATTATTACTCAATATCAATTCTTCTTACTATTAAGATTTGCACATCTATACTGCTTAATGTTCATTGCTGTTGCACGCAAAGTTCCATGGAGTATGTTTGCCTTGACTGTTTGTTGATCTCACTCTTCTGAGGTTTTCTGTGAACATGCCTGTGAAAAGTGTTTTGGAGAATTAGTACTGATGAATTAAGAGAACACACAACTCCACTAATTCCTTCTCCTTTGCCAATGAAATGAGACATCTTTGACATATACTGCTGCTCTTCAATACTAAGAGACATTTTGCATAGAAAATCTTAGCTTTATCCAAGGACATAAAACTAATATAAATTTTTGGAGACCTACAAAACAATCATATAGTTTCATGCTACTTAATAAATTTGCAGGGGAAGTAATGACAAGCAATTGCAGAGGAAATGGAAGATTACTCTAAGGACATAAAGAAGAGAGGGAAATATAAACCACCATCATATTTTGGTGGAGTTCTGCACTTGGTTTTCCCTCCTTCATCAGCATAAAACTCAAATCTATCTCCAGGAAATATGCAGTGATGTAGTTTCAGTCAATGATACATTTGTCAGATAAAAATACAACAGATTCAAAGCATTTCTGGAACTTCAACAAGCTTGAAAAGCTATGAATTCTTCATGACTGTAATTGCAACAACTCTTTCAGACCACTCAATTTATTATTGACTTCACTATGTTGTGTTTAGCAGTAATCATCAGAAATACAGGATAATAATTCTGTACAATCTGTTGCCTCTACCAAAAGAAAGAACTTAAAAAAGATTGACAACAAGAACCATCCTGAATTGCAACTAATTGATGTTTCATATCAAACTAGTATAGGATCATTACTCCCATTCCTGTTTGCTTCCACATACATGATATATTGTAATAGCTTTAATCTGATGGTGAAGTTAGATCTGTGTTATCCTTGGTAGTTGCTAAAAGTATTCCCATAACTTTGCTATTCAACTCCCAGTAAGGCAACTTGATTCCAATCCCTATTGTTTCATTGATGCATCTTTGGGTGGCCTACCAAGATTGGTTTGATGATTTTTGTCACCTTCAAGCCATTCATTTCAGCTGCCTCATCTGGCCTCAGGCACAAGCACTCATGAGTGTTCTTCTATCTTGAATCCAGCAGACCTGGATGTAGGTTTTCTTGCCTCTCATCCCATCCATCATTTAGATGGATTTGCAAAGGAGAGATTAGTGAGAATAGATAAATTCAAGCATGTTGCTTTCCTACTCAAAAGCACTGGAAAAAAAAGATAATAAGATGAGAATATGAAAGATCATCTTGTAAAAGAAAAGTGGAAACAATTAGGAGTAGAAAGGGATGTTAAACAGAAGGTTAATCAATGCCATCAAAGCTTGTAAAAGATTTCATGATTTCTAATTGCATTGACCATTTTGTAGGAACCTAAACAGGCATGAATGCATATAAATCATTTACTTTCAAGCTTCAATCTAATACTTCTGCTGGCTTATCCAACCTTGCTAATATATCCTTCTCAGAAATATAAGCAGATCACATTGGCAAGAGCTGAAAGCCTGATTGGAAAAAGATTGAGAATTGATGTATGTGTTTGTAGTGACAACCCAACCTAAGAAAAGAGCAACTTGCATCAAAGATAATCAAATAGACAGAAATATATGGACTCCAGGAAACACACACACAATTATTACACATCTAATGTTTGGAGAAGAATGTGTTCTTGAACAACAATGCAGATCAAGTAGCTTAGGACACACTGCAATTGACATTAGCTGAAAATTCATTTGATACAGTTCAATTGATGTTAGTATCAGTTTATGTGGTTGATCATGAGACCATTAACATGTGCACCTCAACATGTTTTGTACTTGGAAACTAATGAACAAGTGAAGGAAGAACAAATCAAGAAAAATAAATGTTGTGAGTTCATATACAAGCTAGAAGAAGATGATGTTTTTGAGAATATATCTTTAGTCTCACCAATGGTTGACTATGTCTATGAAAACAAGATGCTAGAAAAACACATGTAGAAATTGAGAATATTATTTTTGGTGCAGATCATACATAATAATAGCATCAGAAATATTACACTAGCAAAGAATGAATGTTTACTTTGTAGTAAATCTCTATGATCTAAATATAGCATCGGTCCCAAGGAAGAACCCAGAAGCCATGAGAGGCCACCATATCACTGTCACCAGTGTTTCGTCATGCAAGGGTGCAGTGAAGAACATGTCTTCCATAAGAAAGAGATTGCAGATATCTGTTTTGGAGACTGTTCAAGCAGCTCTGGAAACTGAGGTCACTTAGGATCATTTTCACAGTCTTTATTTGTTATGGTATGATCCAAGAGAGAAAGACGTATGAATTTACAGAGAGCTTTTGATTTTAGAGCAGTAGGAAAGGAAGAGGAGGAGGAGGAGGAGGAGGAGGAGAAGTGGAGGTTTCCTTCACTCTGAGCAACCCAAGGTTTGATCTTGGTCTTTCAGTTTGAGTTCCACCAGCTGTTGGATCAAATTCCAGTGTCTTGTCCTTCTCAATCTTCCTAAAGATCTTCTGTGGCGAGGGAGGAGAAAACCCTAACCCTAATCCTACCTGCGGAGCTGCCTTCTTCAGCTTCTCTGCAATTGTTGTCCAAGAAAAGAGGACAGAGGCCTGCTTTGAGTTTTGCTCTTCTTTGGAAGGTCAGGGAAGAGAGAGAGAGAGAGAGAGAGAGAGAGAGAGAGAGAGAGAGAGAGAGAGAGCTGGGCATGTCGGCGGCATCGAGGTCGCCGTGCGCGGCGTGCAGGTTCTTGCGGCGGAAGTGCACGCCCGGCTGCGTGTTCGCGCCTTACTTCCCGCCGGACCAGCCGACGAAGTTCACCAGCGTGCATCGGGTGTTCGGGGCGAGCAACGTGGCGAAGCTGCTTGGCGAGCTCAGCCCGTGGCAGAGGGAGGACGCCGTGAACTCGCTGGCCTACGAGGCGGAGGCGCGGCTCCACGACCCCGTCTACGGCTGCGTCGGTCACATCTGCCTCCTCCAACACAAGCTCCACCAGGTGCAGAGCGACCTCTACAACGCCAGGAAGGAGCTCTCCGCCTACCTCAGCGTTCCCATCGCCGATCCCCACCACCAACAACCCCAAGCGGCATCTCCATCGTCCCACCAGCAGATCTTGTTGCACGAGCTGCAACAGCAGATGGCCGCGGTGCAGCAGATTGCAGCCAACCGAGAGCGAGCGAATCAGCAGGAGATCTCAAGATTCAGTACCGTGTTTCAGATGGCTGGTGGCTCTACCATGGCTGCCACCACGGGACTGCCGGCGTTGCTCCCCCCTCGGCCTTTCGAGGGAGTGTTCTCTCCGCAACAACAACATAATGAGAGGAAATAAAGCATTAGTTTCTGATACTACTAAGCAATGCTTGTCGAGCAAAACCTACAGATCTCTCCTTCACTTCCTCTTATTGCCGTGGATTCACTCTCGGTATTAATGGGATTAAGGAGACAACACTTACCACTTGAATTTGATTCAGTACAGCCAAGCAAAAGGAATGGCGCTGCAGAATACATCTCTCTCTCTCTCTCTCTGCCATCTGAAGATCCGATCCTTTTGCTGCTGCTGCTGCTCTTCTTGTTTGAATTTTCCTTTCTTTTTCTTGCTTTCTGCCATTATGATGTGCATCTGAGAGTACTGTGATGAAAGGCCATAATTCAAATGGCTGGTAGCAGTGCAATTGCACTCATGTCTCTTCTTCCACATGGATTTCAACGCCCCAATCACCAACACAAAGACAAAGGCTGTATCATCTCCTTCCCTGCAGCTAACAGCAATCATCACTGTGTAAGGTAGCAGCAGTCACGAGAGTCCCTTCTCGTCTCCCTTTTCTCTCTCTCTCTGACAAGTTTGAACCCTTCAAGTTGTGTAAGGCTTGCAAGTTTGTGACCATATATGCTATCTTCATCGATGACATTATAGGAGTTTGCAGCAGTTGCTTTATTGCATGTAGCTGAAGAATGATCAGTGTTTCTCTTGCTTGAAAAGAGACCAATCTGTTTCAGTGACTTCGGATTTCTTAGCTCGTGGATCTATGAATGGTTTCATCTTTGTCAGCAAAGAATTAAATGTATAGAATTATGTGCATGAATCTGATTTCATCTATTGACTTGGATTGAGAGCAAGTCAAAATTCTGCACACGTCTCCCCCACCCTCTCCTTCATTCACATCAGTCTCTGTTTGTTCTGTTGCCCCCACTTGGCACAGATTGACACCAACTCCCCCATTGTCTTGCACCGGAGAATGAGTCGGTCTTCGATCTCCTCTCCACACAGCTCACCTTCTGATGCACATCCACTCGCACCGTCTCCTTCCTCTCTGTGTCCAGCCAATTGACGTCACTCCTTCCCACTACACTTCCTTGGTTGACCTACTTTTCTTCTTCTCCTCTCTCTCTTCTAATTGCAACCTCAACTACCATCCTTTTACTTTATTGCTTTTCCTTAGATCTGTAAGCATGCCATGGCCAGGCTGATGCCACCAAAGTCTGAGAAATATGCACAGCTGTGCTTTCTTTTTGCTCTTCTTTAGATCTGTTGGAGTCGCAAAACCTAACTCAGAGCCCAAGTTTGAGGTCAAGTCAATCTCAAAACATGTGGTTGCAGCAAGTGGTGCAGTAATGCCTGATCGAATCATGCAGCTGTAAAGTCCAAGTTCTACTTCTTCTTCTTCTTCTTCCACTCCCCCCCACCTTCCTTGTATATAACACCACCACCCAAAACCATTCTGCAATCTCAACTCTTCTTCTTCATGTATAATTCGATGGCTGTCGAGACGACAACTGCTTTGATTCCACCGGCGAGCACAGAGACGAGCGACGAGGACTTGCTGCACATGGAAGGGTGGGCGAAGCGGAAGCGGACAAAGCGCCACCGCTTCTCTGATCGGCCACCGACCGAAGAGGAGTCCTTGGCCCACTGCCTCGTTATGCTCGCCCGCGGCGGACCCGGTCCTCGCCTGCCGTCGTTGGCCTCCGACTCGACGCTGGCGCCACCGCCGGGGAAGCTCGAGTACAACTGCTCCGTCTGCGGGAAGGCGTTCGGCTCTTACCAGGCCCTCGGCGGCCACAAGACCAGCCACCGGAAGCTCACCTGTGCCGCCGACGAGGCCGCCGTCGACACCTCAGGCTCCTCCACTGCCGGCGCCGGCAGGTTGCACCAATGCTCGGTGTGCCTGAAGACGTTCCCTTCGGGGCAGGCGCTCGGGGGGCACAAGCGGTGCCACTACGACGGAACCCTCGGCAACAGGGGGCTGGATCTGAACGTGCCATCGCTGCCCGAGTTCGAGTTCGACGGTGGCGTCAGGCGCTGCCTACCGGCAACGGCGGCGGCGGCGGCCACCGCGGAGGAGGAGGAGGTGCAGAGCCCACTGGCGTTCAAGAAACCGAGACTTCTGATCCCGGCTTAAGCGCCGACAGCTACCAAAAGTCAACTCCATTGCGTTCATTGTTTGTTCGAGATGAATACTACTCTTCTCCGTGTACAGAATTCTTTGTAGGCTGATGAAGTCAACGATTCTTTCTCCAAGTTTGATCATTAATATGAGCTGCATTAAGATCTTGACGATGTGAGCTTCAATCGCATGTGGCTATGGAAATGAGGAACTGAATCGAATGATGACGAACAGAACCATATGAAGCTAACAAGGAAATATATTTATATGTCATATATTTAATTATAGGCATAAGATTCACTCAGATCAATTTTAATTGAATTATGATGAGATCTCACAAATGTGGCACCGTTGAATGACTGCCACGTGGAAATCCAACCGTTCTGGGGATGCCCCAACTCCCCGGTTCGTCAACGTAACTCTGTCCACCCCCCTTCTCCTGCTTCTTGGACATCTCATCGAAGGGATCAACCTCGGAGGGATCAGAGAGCAACAGGGAGTAGGGAGGGAGAGAGGGCTTGTCGGGGGTCCGTCTCTTGGATGGGCGAGGCCTCCGGCGACGATGATTCCTCCTACCCTTTCTCCGTCACGACGCCGCAGCCGCCGCCGCCGCCGCCGCCGAAGAAGCTGTCGGTGCTCCCCTTGATCGCCCTCATCTTCTACAATGTCTCCGGCGGCCCCTTTGGCGTCGAGGACTCCGTCTCGGCCGGCGGCGGACCCCTCCTATCCCTCCTTGGCTTCCTCGTTTTCCCCTTCCTGTGGAGCCTCCCTGAGGCCCTCGTCACCGCGGAGCTGGCCGCCAGCTTCCCGGAGAATGGTGGATACGTGCTTTGGATCTCCTCCGCCTTTGGCCCCTTCTGGGGATTCCAGGAGGGATTCTGGAAGTGGGCCAGCGGCACCATGGACAACGCCCTCTACCCCGTCCTTTTCCTCGACTACCTCTGCCAGTCCCTCCCATTCTTCGCCCGCCCGGCCGCCCGCACTCCGGCCCTCCTCGTCCTCACGGCAGGCCTGACCTTCCTCAACTACCGCGGCCTCAACATCGTCGGCCTCGCCGCCGTCGCCCTCACCGCCTTCTCCCTCTCCCCCTTCGTCGTCATGGCCCTTCTCGCCCTCCCCCGCCTCCGCCCCCGCCGCTGGCTCGCCGTGGACCTCAAAAGAGCCAACTTTAGAGGTTACTTCAACATCATGTTCTGGAATCTCAACTACTGGGACAAGGCAAGCACCCTCGCCGGCGAGGTCGAGGACCCGAGCCGATCCTTCCCCAAGGCCCTCTTCGGGGCCGTCATCCTCGTGATGGCTTCGTACCTGATTCCATTGCTCGCCGGTACGGGGGCTATGGACGCGTCCATCACCGAGGAGTGGAAAGACGGGTACTTTGCGCAGGTTGGGATGGTGATCGGGGGAGCGTGGCTCCGATGGTGGATCCAGGCAGCCGCGGCCATGTCGAACATGGGTTTGTTCGAGGCCGAGATGAGCAGCGATTCATTCCAGTTGCTTGGTATGAGCGAGATGGGGATGCTGCCGGCAATATTTGCAGAGAGGTTAGCACCCAGCTGCTATCTATTTCTACTTCTCATTGCGGTTTTCATAAACAGTATAAACCAAAGTGTAGATATTACTGACTTCTCCTTGAACTTGGTTTTAAAGCTCCTTATAAAAGAATTCCCGAACCAAATTTTCTTGAAACAAATACATGGTTTTTGTTTAGAATGTGATAATTTGGAGCAGAGGAACTACATAAGCTTTAGTACACTGAATATGCCATTCATACTTTCGTTTCATAAAAGAAAAATAAGACTTTGCAAGGTTAAACGGGGTGGAATATCAAATGTCTCCAATTCTTGATGTATTCCACCGGTTCTTAGCATTAGTTCATCACGGTGATTGTATTGGGCTCGGGAGATGTAGGATTGTACTCTAGTCTTGGAATAAGATTTCGGAAGGGGGGAAAAAACTCAAATTTTTCTCAATTTAATGGACCTAAGATTTCAGTTTTGTGATGATTCTTTGTGGTTTTTGTTAGCATACTTTCAGTGTCATCATGGCCATCTCAATTATAGATTGATACTTTTGTAGATCGAAATATGGCACTCCAACCATTAGCATCCTATGCTCTGCAACTGGGGTCATACTATTATCATGGATGAGCTTTCAGGAGATTGTGGAGTTCCTTAATTTCTTGTACTCATTGGGAATGCTTCTTGAGTTTGCTGCATTCATAAAACTCAGAATAAAGAAGCCAGATCTCCACAGGCCATATAAGATTCCGGTAGAAACCTTTGGCGCAGTGATTATTTGTGTACCTCCCACTATTTTGCTTGTCCTTGTTATGTGTCTGGCTTCAATGAGGACTTTTATTGTGAGCGGGAGTGTTATGCTTGGTGGGTTTCTTTTATATCCTGCTATTGAGCACATGAGGAATAAAAATTGCATTAAGTTTCTCAACACAACTCTGCCACCTGAGGGTTGTTCCAACACTCCTCAAGTGCAAAATCAGGATGTTGTTGATGAGGCTTCCGTAAGCTTTTTGCCAGACCATTCCTGTGTCAAGAAGGAACTACAAGACCTTGAAATTAATTCAGATGGGATCTTGGATAAGGAGTGAAAGAGATTTCAACACTTCAAGTGCACTGATCAACTTGAGTTATCTAAGCCTTTAATGTATCACATTTATGTTAATATGTATCCTTATAATAATTTTGGTACAGAGGATGCAAAGTTTGGCAAAGTATTTTACTTTCCTCTCTATCTTTTACATTTTTGGTTTCCATCTATATCAAAAGTTAAACCCCCTTGCATGACATCATGTTTTAAGCTCTTTCATTTAATAGTTAAATGTCCTTAACTGGCACAATATTTCTGTGGCTATTCCATATTGAGCTTTCCAAGAGTTCTTCCATCACAAGGAAACTATTCCGCAAACAAGGTGGAATAATTGACTTTTTCTGGACTTTCTTCCTAGGAACAGCATCCCATGTAGTATGCCCCCCGAAACATCAATTAGTACTATTGATTTAAATAGTAAACAAATGGAAGCTTAAAATATCGTAGAGTTCGGAGTTAAAATTTTGAAAGACAGACATAATATTTAGCAGTGATGATATTAATTAGACAGGTAAACTGATGAAAGAAGTATTTAACACTATAGGGATGTGAACAATGGTAAATGTGTAGATTCATATAAGAAAACTCTGAAAAAGCAATGAAGCAAAATGTCTTGCTTTTGGGAGAAGTACTTTGGTAAAAAATTCAGCAGGACAAGAGGATATGAAAGCTAAGGATGCATAAGAGTTTGGGAGTATCCTAACTTCCTAGAATATAAAAATGAAAGGTATAAATAATTAGCATCACTTTTCAACTTAAACTTTATGTAGATTTTGTACCCTGAGTTTATTGTTTGATCTTTACCCCAAGAAGAGGGAGGTAGTTTGAGCAGATCTAGTTAGTCTTCTTAGTATTTAGGGATTGGTTTACATATATTTAACCTTTAGGTGCTTTCATTTTGTTTGTTCTGAAATTTTGTATCGCTGAATTCCTGTACCAATTGTGGTTCAGAGTCCACAGAAATAACGACAATTTTGTAATTGTTCTAACAGAACCAATAGACAGAGCGAGAATTTTGCCTTCTCTTTCTTTGGTGATGGTGGTTAAATGACCCGGATCCGATCTTAATAACTCTTATGCTTTTATGTTGCTTTAAAAAGTATGAGACCAGGTATCCTTCAAATTTTTGCTCTTAGGATGGTCTTTTTTAGGGTGCCAAGGTTCATTCACATATGTATTGTCTTCTTAATAAAGTAGAGTGCACTAATCCAGGAAAGAAGGTACTAGGATTGTTCTTAGTTTCCAATGTTAATCGAGCACCAAGTTCTTCAGTTACCAAGATTTGATATTCAGAAGAAAGGTCAGATGCATTTTTCTGATGTTTTGGTAAATTACAAAGTAACTCATACAACTTTATTAGATTGGCATGCTTGTGTTTTCTGATAAACTTGATATAAACTTGATGCTAATAATCTCACATGTTCAAACTGTAAACACTTGTCCTCCACATCCTCTGTTTTAGCTCCATTTTTATTGTTTTGACATGAGTAATTCGGTGTTGAATTAGCTTTTGTCTTAAATTTGCAGTTAAGTTGTTTAGTGTGTCAAATACATTCTTTTTTATGCAAACTTGTGAGTGTTGGTAACCATTTCTTTTTTATGCTACCATTATCCTTGCTGAGTACTTCAAACCGAGTCATATCTACAGAAGCTTTGTTTCTACCTTACATGCTTTCTCTTTTACTATCTTGCTAGTAATTGGAACTTCATCACATCTCAGAGAATTGAATTAGTTTTGTTGTTGTTTATTAACATCTCACAGAATTGACATCACAAGCCTCCCTTTCTCCTTATGGTAGTGCCAAGTATACAAGAAAAGACTGCTATAGAGAGATGTGGTGAGAATGTTGATATTGTATTGCCAGTTGTTTCTCTAACCTTACGACTAACTAGTCTCCGTTTGGATTTTATTTTTGTTTCTTCTGATGGACCTTAAGATCACAAAATATCCATGCTAGATATTTTCCTGCATCAATCAATTCCAAGAAATTAGAGAGCAGCTTGTATGTGGAGTGAGTGATGCTAACCTTTTAACAGTGGAGGCAAGCATGTGTTGACTGGTTCGCATGTGGAAACGCGTTCTTCGTACGTGCTGTAGGCCGAGCAACTTCAAGGTAACGTGGGGAGCATCTTTTAAGACGACAACCTTGACTGACTCTCTCTCTCTCTCTCTCTGCACAGGAACATTGAGAGAGAGAAAGAGAGAGAGAGGAATGGGGTCTTCCAACCATGCTTCAGCTTTGGTCGTCTGTGCTTTGGCCTTAGCCATGGCCTGCACCGCCGTAGCACAGAACACCCAGCAAGACGGTGTGGACGCCCACAACTCCGCCCGGGCCGCCGTCGGCGTCGGTCCTGTGTCATGGGACGACGACATCGCCTCCTACGCTCAGAAGTTCGCCAACAAGCGCGTCACCGATTGTCAGCTCGTGCACTCCGGCGGGCCTTACGGGGAGAACCTCTTCTGGGGCACCGGCAGCGCCTTCACCCTGACCGACGCCGTCAACACCTGGATTGCGGAGAAGCAGTACTACGACTACGAAAACAACTCCTGCGCCGACGGTCAGGTATGCAGACACTACACGCAGGTCGTGTGGCAGAACACTACGGCCATCGGCTGCGCTAGGACACAGTGCAGCGACGGCAACGGCATATTTATCCTCTGCGACTATAGCCCTGCGGGCAACCTTGTGGGTCAACGCCCTTATGAGGAGAAGGCACAAGAAAACAACGTATTGAGGTTTAGGGCTTTTTCCACTGCAGCATATTTGGTTGTCAAAATTAGTCCCTAATTCCTCTTCCTCATGATACTGCATGCATTCCCTTTTGGCAGCTTGATCGTCTTGTTCGAGTCGAGTAGTGTTCTTGGTGTGAGACAACTCTGACCTCGAATCCTGTGAAGCAGAAGAGGCAGGTGTTGATGTAGCAGATTCTTGTTTGTTTCCGCTTGCTGTGTTTCTTGAATAGCCGACTGCATCTCCATCTTCCACCATGCATTTAGGGAATATCTGTGCAATAAATGCATCGTTTCGAATGCAGCAAGCTTTCATGCCATTTATACCCCAATGATACACATCCGTTTGCAGACGAAGACAGACATCATACACTGCATCTCAACTCCATCTCCTCGCTTGCAACCCAGGATCTTCGTCGTTTATTACACCAAGATCTCGATCGCCACACTGCCTGTTTTATCTCAGAGTGCTCAGGAACTAGTCAGGTTTAGGGTTCGCAGACGATCGTGCACCAACTCATGCAGTTAATGCATCGGCTTCCATTCCTCCCTATATATATTATAACCCTGCGCATGCACCTGCAGCAGCGCCACAGTCGTTCTTGTTGCCCTATGTCAGATTCCGATGTTGAGGGAGAAGAAGAAGACCAGCAAGGGCAAGCAGAGGATAGAGATGAAGAAGATAGAGAACGAGGAAGCCCGCTACATTAGCTTCTCCAAGAGAAGGAATGGGATCTTTGGCAAGGCCAGTGAGCTCTCCACCCTGTGTGGCACAGACTTGGCCGTGCTCATCTCGTCCCCCACGGGGAAGCTCCATTCCTTCGGCAGCCCAAGCGTGGCCCTGGTCGTGGACCGGTTTCTTTCGACCGGGGTGGACCACTCCTCCGGTTCGGTTCACGAACAATCGCGGCGGGGGCAAACGATCCAGGACCTGAATCATCGGCTCATGGAGCTGGCGCGCCGGCTCGAGGACGCAAAAGCCAAGAAGGCGGCGCTCCAGGAGCGGCTCGAGGCGGCGGCTCGGGGTCTGGATTGCGAGCGGATCGATGATTTGGAGGGGTTGGGTTTGGACGAGCTCGATCGGCTTATGGAGTCACTGGGCCGGCTCAAGGCCCGGGCCAATGCCCGGACCGAGGAGATCTTGACGGGCATCTCTCCCGAGCCGACAACCGTCGATCATGTCGGTCCCTGGCGGCATGGTGGAATCTGCACCGTCCACTCCGATTCGGACGGGTTGGGAGCTCAATGCCCGTCGAACCCGGTTCTTGCCATGACGAACCAATTTGACTCGGCAGCACCGCGATCGAACCCATTGATGGAGACTATCGATTTTTTAGATATTAATGGCTTGTTTGAAGAATTTTAAGCTCGTCTTCCACGGAGAAGTTTAAGTAATGTTATGGTCGAATTATTCATATCCTTAATAAGTGAATCTTAATGTTTTTCTCCTAATTATGCTTATAATTGGGATTAAGTTTCAGACGTATAAAGCTTACACGATCACGTTAATAATTTAGTAGAAAACTATATAACATGAAGAACACTTAAATATGATCGGTTTCAAAATTACTTAAAATTTCTCTTCAATATATTATATATAATAGTTTAATTTTTTTATTTTTTAGTATGTATATAAAAAAAATATAAAATTACCTTAACACCCACAATCATCTCTCATAAATCACAAACTTTCATAATTAGAATCTTAAAAAAAAAGCAATATGCATCTCATAATAATCCATGACATGCATGGGGCATCAAACCCCATTTGAATTGTCAATTGATGATTGGGATTGTCCCACTCAAAGCACTTTGATACCATTTATTTTTGTCCTCTTTGATCATATCTCCCATGCCAAAGTGTTTGGTTGAAGCTTTTTGTTGGCATGAAACTTGAACTAGCCAAGTCTTTTTTTGGCTTCATGCCTACTTTCTATGGTGATGGAAAGACTTAGAGACATTGGTGATGACATGTACAAGGTCAACTTGGAAGACATGATAAGATACAAGGTCAAAAAGAAATCAATCTACTGCCCCCACTAGGCAATTAACAACATTATCAATCCATGTTGAATTCTAGAAATATATGGAAACAATGCTCCTTCATGGATTATTTCCTAATATGTGAATTTTAATTGGTTAAAAATCTAATTAAAATCACATACAAGAAGTTGAATCCTAATCTTCCAAGCATTCCTCATGTAAGTTTAAGCTAAAGCTTGTGCATGCCACCTACCTACTTCATGGCTATCACCCTTTTGTCTCCTACTACCACTTTGGAAAGAGAACAGTGGCACGGACAGAACTAAAGAGGAAGAAGAACAGGGACAAATCATCGAATCAATGATGACAAAGAGAAGAAGACAGCACGAACTAGGGTTTTCAATGGAGATGATATCACGTATTGTAATTGGCAGTGGTATACTAATTGATTCCTTTCCCATGTTCCATCATGAGATCAATCTCAAACACTGTTGGAAATCCAAGTTTAGGCACACTTTTCTTCCCTCAGAATCTTTCTTGTTTCTACCCCCAAGCACAAACTATACATGTTTATGCAGCATAAACTATACAGTTGATATGAGATAGGAATGCTTTTTAGTTACCTTCATGCTTCATTAATGAAGCTATCAGCAGGAGAGAGAGAGAGAGAGAGAGAGAGAGAGGTGATGTGCCTGTGAAGTATATATAGGACACTTCATGCTCTTATCTCTGGATCAAAATTAGGTAATCTCATATTTGATGATGATAAGGTTGGGTTTTGGGACGTATGACATAGCATGGCCAGTGAAACAGGCATCAGCTCTCAGTTTACTTGATTTGACATCGGAAAAGAAAGCTACCAGACATAGCTTTCCCTTCTCTCTCTAACTCTTCTTCTTCCCTACCCCTCAAGATCTCAGTGCTTGACATGAAGTCGGTGAAATAATTCATCCAGCCACCAACTCCATTCCTCCTGCTTTAGAGCTGGGGCTTGTGTTTCTCTTGCTTCCTCTGTGTCTTTCACCGGATGGAGGAACTCTCTCACTTGGGCGGTGACTTTCTCTCGTCGACCATCACCACCACCGCCACCGCCACATCAGCTCCTCTGCGGCCGAATGCCGCCGTATATGGGCGGAATTGTTACCCAACCAGTGCCACGTTACCCTACCTTGAACCCGGAGCAGGTTCTTCTCGGCAAGCATCTCAAGTCAGAGCAGTGGAAGGACGAGTCGGGCAAGGAGAGATGTGTCCAAGTGATGCAGAAGACGTCCGGGCCAAGATCGTGTCTCATCCTCAGTATTCCAGCCTTATCGGAGCCTATATCGACTGTCAAAAGGTTCGATCACCCAACCCTACTGATCCGTAAAGCTCAATCCCGAAACCCTCTGTATGCCATTTTGGTAGGTGGGAGCGCCGCCGGATGTGGTGGAACGGCTGTCGGCCATAGCTCGGGAGCTCCAGTCGCGCTGCACCCGCCGTCAGGGTTCTTCCTCAGACCCCGAGCTCGACCAGTTCATGGTACCTCTCTCTCTCTCTCTCTCTCTCTCTCCAAATCTCAATTGCGGTGCCAAAGCTAACGCCAAAGCGTATAATAGGAAGCATACTGTGATCTGTTGGTGAAGTACCGAGAAGAGCTAACGAGGCCATTACACGAGGCCACAGACTTCCTAAAGAGAGTCGAATCACAGCTCAACGCGCTCACCAACACTTCATCGCCGCGGCTCTTCTCCTTCGGTAAATATACATGTTATAGCCTTCATATCTCAGAATTTGATTGTATCCACGGTGCATCTATTTGTCCGAGAGAGAGAGAGAGAGAGAGAGAGAGAGAGAGAGAGAGGACTGTAGTTTTCGGCAGTTTGATGTGTCGAAGGCTTTACCCTGCGACAGTGCAGTGCGGAATGGGTACAGTAACGTGACAACAGCTGCAGTGGAATCCTTACGTGGTGTTTGGTGTTTACGAGGAGGGAAGGGTTTCCCCTTTCACGCTTGGAAAGACTGAGGCAAGACCTGACTGATCTCTCATGGACAGCATCTCTGTCTACTCTAATGGCTTCTGCCAGTGTATCAACGTGAGATATGGGGTAGGAAGGAAAGGCGAGGCAGCCTACAGCATCTCCATCACCAGGCTACACTGAGGGCAGTGTCCTTCTCCAGCTCTCCCCCTCTGAACTCGTCTCTTTCCTGGGATTGCTATTTGTTCACTGGGGGTGGTAGATCGATCACACCAGAAAGAGAGAGAGAGAGAAGAACCTTCTCTTTGTAACCAAGTAATACACAAGGAAACCACACGTTGGTGTGCAATAAGGTGCCATTTCGGTGCTGACAAGAGCACGAGGGTCATCTTAGGGTTCCAAGGAGAATAATCCTACCATCATTACCCTTCTTCCTCCTACTATGTATTTTATTAGCAATCCAATTCTCTCTGTCTCTCTCTCTCTCTCTCTCTCTGTGTTAGCCATCAACAAGTCCAGCTGCTTTCAACTACTAGTTTGGGACTGCTAATTTGTAGGGCTGTAATGCTAAAGATAGGAATGCTTCATCTACAAACACTTTGAACATAATAATGTTCAAAGTGTGTGAGAGGAAATATGATGATACCGGTAGAGCACATTGCAAATTCTTATTGTTCTGAGTGAATAGTTGATCATTTGATCATTTGTTCATTTGATCATTTGATCATTTGAATAGTTGATCATTTGATCATTTGAATAGTTGATCATTTGCACATTGCAAATTTGATCATTTGTTCGATGGGAAAAGATAGGTTTAATTCACTCGGTAATATTTTTTTTTCCTGGTATGCGAAATGCTTTTGTTGACCAGTTTGATTCAACAAAAGTTGTTGATTCATTCATGTCTCACAATTACATGGTTTTGTCTCTTTGATTATTTCTTCACATATTGTCCATCATACTTATAATCTTTTAAGGAAAAGAATTGTCAATGATGCTTCATCAAAATTATAGTTACATTGGAAAACTCTTCTTGTTCGTAAGAATAGTTCTTTTTTTATGAACAACATTTCTTTTTAGCCAAACAATAACAACAACAACAACAATAAAACGATAAGTCCCAACTATTTGGGGTCGGCTATATGAATTTTTTCGAGATCCATGCTCATGAGATCTGACATAGTTTACATTGTTTGTTAGTACCCTAATGCAATTCTCCACCTCTTTTCATCTAGGCTTGGGACCGGCATTGGCCAAACAAGTTGTAATTGTTTTAATTCACTCAACCTGCAACAAATTTAAACATCATAATCCAAAAATTAAACAAAAAAATACTTGTCCCTCGAAACATTAAGAAGCAAAAGTACCTCTAACCAAAGAACTATCAAGGTTAGTGGAATTCCAAGGATTAGTAAACATAAGTAGCTGAGAGGTTTCATGAAGCCAAAGAAATCTTCCAATTGTGAACACTGCCAGTAGTCACAGAATCTGCAGAGATACATATATAGTCCACTTAGTTCTATGCGGCACAAGTACGCGATAGATTCATGAGGCCAATGGAGAATATCATCCTCTAATATGATCATAATCTTCGTTATATCACTTTATTCCGTAATTCTTTAGCTGCACTATCTTGTTCTGTCATTATAGCCATAAGAACTTCAGATCGTAGTTGACAGTAAATAGATTTACGGTTGACCTCCACTGTATAGAAATGCCGATTTATGAGATAACATTTGGCTGTTAGAAGTTCATATTCACTTAAAAGATGTTGTACATATGATTTGTTCCATCTTGATTCACATAAAAGTTAGATTTATATTCTTTTTTCTTCCAATCCTACAGCTTGACCACTAAAGCTACCAATATAAATCCAACTCCTCTATGACTAGGAACTACAGAGTTGCTGAATTCGTTAGAGAATTGCAGTTAAAGAACTTTTCCTGTAAATAAGTTGCCGAAGAAAACACACCAAATGTTATCCACAAGACTGATCTGATACAAAAAAAAGTTCCTTAAAAGGATTCACCAACACATAGACTATGGCAAAAGAGAAGAGAGAGAGAGAGAGAGAGAGAGAGAGAGAGAGTCTTGCAGGAACAGTTGTCTATATGAAAATCTCAAATATAAATAAATGAGGGATAAGGCAAAATTGAATGGTCTTGCCCTAAACAATAAATGTCTAGATAAAGATTGTTGCACGGAGGACCTAATTGAGACTGGCAGAGTAGATTACATCGGTATGAGATGTGCAAATTAAGTTAAAATTTTATATTCGTTGAGATTGACTTTGATTTTATTGCTGGTATATTTAGTTCTTGACACAGGGGATTAATGTTGATCAATCATCGCACTTGTATAATGCTTATGTATTTTCTGTTTTTTCTTCAAAAAACATTGCACTCTATGTTTTAGTTATTGACTTGTGATGTTTCTTTTGTCTGCATTTAGAGATTACACAAAGTTCATCACAAGATGAGTAAGTCCTCCTTTCTGTTTGATACTTCCATCTCCTGTTGCATGTCTTGACTATAATCGCACTTGCGAAGTAAGTGCTACAAATAGGCTACCTAATTATTCTTGCATTCCAGTTGAATTTGTTGATAACTAGAGGAGTTCAGTATGTGGAAACTTTGTATGAGATAGATGTTTCACTAAGTCTAATGATTCTTCGCGAGGGGGTTCTTTTGTTTTCTCTAATAAAAAAAAGGAAGGGGCCTTTTATTGCTGATAAAATATGGATTCGATCTACTAAATTCTTCCATGGACATCTTTATTGTTCATCTCAACAAACCATTTAGATATCATTGAACACAATATTAATATTGCTTGATTTTTATATCATACTAAGGAATACGGTTTCCGTATGTAAATTGGTCTAGTTCATCACAGTGTCCTTTTCAAGCCTTATTTTCTTCAAGACAAAATGAATGACACAAAAATTGCTAAATAATTTCTTATGCGAAAACATTCTCTGAAGTCCATTTGTTTTTATCTAGCCTGTTAAATTTTTTTTTTTTCAGAACCTGCGGATGAGAGATGCGAAGGTGTCACATCCTCTGAAGAAGATCCAGACGCTAGCGGTGGTGGAGACATCGATCTTCCCTTGATCGATTCGCATGGTGAGGATAAAGAGCTGAAGCACCACCTTCTAAAGTACGGTGGGTACTTGGGCAGTCTCAGGCAGGAGCTATCCAAGAAGAAGAAGAAAGGAAAACTGCCAAAGGAAGCCCGGCAAAAACTACTCAACTGGTGGGAGCTGCACTGCAAGTGGCCATATCCATCGGTATGAGTTCAATGTATCTTTGTGCACAATTTCCTCATCAAGACTGAAATAATCCAATTTATTACTACATTATGAAAAATAAACTTGAGTCATGCCACTTATATAATAAAAACATCAATTCGGATAATAATAAGGCATTATGTTCCTCAGTGCTTGTCGGACTTCTATAAAGTCTAACATTATTTACTAATATATGGAGAAACCTTAGTGTCCCAATTATTTGAGGTCAACCACATGGAGCCTTTTCTGATTAAATAAAGCAACATCTTTAGTCAAATCAATAACACTTAAACGCTTATAGTTCTTCATAAAATTTCCTTATATTTTTCTTGACCTCTTTTCACACAACAAATTATGAACATATTCTTACGAATTTAAACAATTCTTGCTCATTTTATCATCTAACTAATTTTTCTAGAACTAGTAATTTTTGTTTCTATATATAGATCCACCTCAACATTCTCATCGGATATAAAATTTTCATAGAGTGCCTACATTCTTAATATAAAAGCATGAGGAGCTGACACGGTGAGGATTCCACTACTGTAGTAGTTCTGTTGCTTGTCATTGCTACCTCTTATTAGATTCGTAGTGTGTCAATTGAGAAAGCTTTTAAATGTGTTTATAATGTTTATATGTTTACGACATGTCTATGTGACCAAACGCAGGAAACAGAAAAGGTGGCCCTGGCTGAATCAACAGGCCTCGATCCGAAGCAAATCAATAATTGGTTCATAAACCAAAGGAAACGGCATTGGAAACCATCGGAGGACATGCAGTTCGTCGTGATGGATAGCTTCCATCCGCAGAATGCTGCCGCCTTATACATGGAAGGACAGTTCATGGTTGACGGCCTTTACCGCACCGGTCCATAATTTCCGGATGCCTACTTGAAGAGTTCTTCTGCACACATAACCATCGCATCGTCATTAGATTATCATTAAGTTCCTCGATGTTGTTTAGTTCGCCATAAAAATATCATGATTAAACTGTTTGTATTTGTAACTATAGTTCGTCCCATGGTGTCTCGATACCTGAAGTTGTTCTTATTTCATGTTGCATCATAGATGTTGGAGCTATTTCTGGTTCATATTTTCGGTGTTTCTGCAGTGGGATTGTCAAAGGAATGTTCCATGCTAATTATAGTCTGTAATAAATGATAAAGTTCATGTTCTATTGTGATTGGTAAATGAAGCTGAAATCTTACTATTTTTCCTAATTGATAGGAAAAGGGAGAAAAAAACTGTGATTTGTGTGATCAAACTTCACAGAACACTCTGCCAACATCCATTCCTCATCTCATGTTTAAGGAAATTGAAGTTGACTGAAATATCACTAGGAAACTTCAGCCTTTGTCCAACATATGCATTTCTTGACAGTTAGATATAAACAACAATCAAAGATAGGATGTGTTCATGAAATGATGCACCAATGGTTGCTTGTGCTACTCAAGATTTGGCCGTTTTACCGACAGGACAAGAACACAAGATGTTGAAATTGGAAGGAGAACAACAAAAAACCCTTTGTCATCTTCAAGGATGACTGGTAGGACACAACAAGCATCCAAGATTTGATGGATTGACAAGCACATGTCACTGCAATGATCATATAATTGATGTGATACATACATACATATATATACATACATAAAAAAATTTGATAATGACATGCTCCTGAAATATCGAGATGAACTTCTCCGACTTGGGTTAGTCCGATCTAAATGACAAATGGAACACACTAAAGCTTTTAAACTAATATCATGTTGAGATATATGTTGAGATATTAGTTGGTTGAGTGTGAATCAAACTAATCAAATCTACCATATACAAAATATTAGACACAAATGCAATCCAAATTCCAATAGCTTATCAAATCAAATATCATACATGAGTCCAACACTCTTTTCATCTTTCAGCAGTCTTAGGCTATTCTTAGCCTGATATCGATCTCAATCTCATACATAAATATTTTTCCAATGATATAAGATGAAGAATTAAGTTATAGCAGCCACAGTCAACATAAATTCCAAGGGAGAGATTTATAGACCTTCAACAACATCCCTCTTTTAGATGCTTAAAGAAATCATTTTAATAACTGCAATGCAGGCCTGCAAAGCTCTTCTGTCTTACCAAGAAGTCCATTTGTGCCCTGTCCCAACATTTTTAGATATGAGTAAAAAAAACCAATCATAAAATCAAAAGCATAGCCTTACTTTTTCCTGAACCAGTGAAAATAATATCCCCATCTTACACACCATTAGACATGTACCATTGAGACATATTTAACATTCCAGCCAGCTTCTTTTAAACCAATGCTGAATGTTTTGAAACTTCTAAGAGCATGCAGTGACACAACACATGCCACTTCAAAAGAAAGAGATGAAAACTGGAAAATTCACTATGCTTCAAACTTGGGCAAATCCAGTTGCAGTTCCCTAGCGGCGGGTCAGAAATGCTAGCTTTATTCAATCTATTGGGATGACTACTTAGAAAGGCACAAAATTTCAGGTAGAAGTTTGTGACAATATTTGAGAATGGATGACTCAGGAAGCAATTTAAGTTCCAAGCAGAAGAGGCGTGGAAGAAAATAACCCAATCTCTGCTTTCTCAAGAGCAGACACAAGACATGAAGGATTAGAGCCAACAGCAAAAATAACCTGTAAATATCGAGAAATCATGGTCATCCATGAGTAAATCAGCAAAAACCAGGGGCAATAACCTTCGGTGAAGGATTTTAATGAAACAAATGCCAGAAAACTTCTATCAAGAGGTAGCCATTGTAAATCTTTCATGATGATCAGTTGTATATCTTCAGCCCAATCCTCTGAGCCCAAAAGTTCATGGCAATTCATAAATCTGCATATTATGTAACTAAGATGTTGGTAATTTTCCAGTAATACAAGCTGCAGGATACTTCTTAATTTATCCTATGCTTTGACTAAGAAATATGATCAAGGAAACTAGTTTGGCTGCCTTCACCTGCAAACCCATAAGCTTGATTTCTAGGCCCATTCAGGAGAAAGAAACAGATGCATACTAAGAGAACATGGGACTGAGCAAGCATGTCTATGAAGCTACTCTTCCATTAACATTTGAATCCCATTTAAACATCATGGTATTGGGAATGCTTGGCACAAACCCAAAACGTCATCAAAGAAGAAGATGGCAAATGCAAACCCGAGGATGCAAAACATATAGAAAGAAAGACCACTCCAATAAGCTGTATCTTTTACATTCAAAAAGTGGAACTTTTGCCTTCCAAATGAACACTACTCTGCAGCATCGCCTTCTATGTTCTTTATATCATTTTGGATGTCAGGTAAGGTTGACAGATCTGTTCGAGCATCTCTTTCTTCTTCTGTCACCATCCTATGTGAAGAACCAGCCAAGTCTCCCTCATCTGCACCTCGATTTTCATTTGTAGCTAGAGAAACATTGGACAGCTCTTCCACACTATTATCTCCAATGGTTGTGTTAGACTTCTTAAGTTGTTCCTCAACCACACTTTTCACGTTGGAGTTATCTTCTTTTGGACTTCCCAATGCAATTGTAGTGTTGTGATCCTCAACCAGCCTCGAGCTATGAGCTCCATTCTCAACATGCACAATATTAGCTTTACCTTCAGTTTCATTGCTAGAAACAGCTATTGGTGAATCAGTCTCCAGCTTCAATTGATTATCAGATACCCTTGCTATTGTAGAGTTGACCTGAAGCTTTGTTTGACTGTTAGGAGAAAGCTCTTCCACAGTTTTTTCAGCAGTATCCTTGTTTACGGTTAGGCTATTGTTCTGAATGGTCTCATTCCCTATGGCAGCTAATACAGTCAGGTTCACATCATTATTACCCATGGGACCATCATCCATTCTGCCAATAGTATCTTTTGTCTCCGTATCATTCTCATTGTTTCGCAGTTGCTCTTCTTCCACGGTGTCAATTTTTCTGTCTATTTTATCTTCTGTTTCAGTCACTTGGTTTTCTTGGAACACAGCACTGGAAGCATCGTCACTTTTGTAAATTTTTTCATGTGCCTCTTGAGAAGAACCCTCTTCATGTTCTTGGTCTTCTATGAACTCTCCTTCCTCAACTTGATCATTCTTGTCTTCTCCATCCTCAACTTCCTCATCTGGTCTCTCCTGATCATCCTGCTCATCGCCTTGCTCACTATCTTGCTCATCGATCACATCATCTCCAATCCCTTTGGCTTCTTCATCCTCCATGGCTTGTTGAGTTTCCCCATCTTCTTCTTCCTCGACTTCTTCATTTTCTTCCTCCTTGATATGAATCTTATCCCCAGGAATTGCTTTGTTGTGGGGGAGGCCCTTCCTTCCAGGGTCCATAAAATCTGACTGGCTGTCGACCACATCATTTAAAACCCTTGTGTTTTGCTCACTAGACGCCTTTTTCTTATCATAAGTGTGCTTCATCTGATAAAGCAACCAGAAGCACACAGCAACCAAGAGACAAATCTGAAGAACATTTCTCACCTTAAGTCCTTTGTTCCTCTGACTTCTGCTAGATGCTTGTCTCAGCATGGTGATTATATTTGAAGACAATTCTCTGGAATTGCGTAGGCTGTCCAATTTCAGAATTAACGAACCCACAAAGAGACAAAGCACTCAGATAACACCCCTGTAGCTGATAGCTAATTATATCCCCTAAAAAGAACTCATTCAATGATTTTGCCGCAATCTCAAGCTGATCAAGAGAGGAACAATCGATGAGCATAAAAGTTGATTTTTTTTTTATTGAGTTCTACACAAGTTTGCAAAACCCTAATTCAAGCCCTAAAAAAATAGATAAATAAGTTGTCGATCAATTACTCTATTTCATTCAACAACAGGAATCTAACCCCAATGATTCAGAGCCTAACAACTATTTAAGCTGAAACCGCGAAAACCCACCAAATCCTTTCAATGAATGATCAAGACAAAAAGGAAAAGGAATCAAAACACTCTTTCATGAGCATCCACCACCTCAATCCCGTCCCAAACCCCATGCAACATCGATAAAAAAAAAACTTCCTTTTCATCTATACGATCCAAATCCTTTACTAAACTCCCCAGCAGAAGCTCAAACAAACGGGAGAAACACACAACAGGAAAGAACAATCAAAAACCAAAACATCATCTTTCCGCGGAAGACATCTCAGAGATGACAAGAATCCACAAATATCTGAGAAGTGGTGAGGAGGTTGAGAAGTACCTGAAGCTTGAAGGAGGGTTCTCTTTTCCCTTTCCTTACTAGGGTTTCTTCGTGCAGGCTTGGAGAGGGATTCTTTCTTCGGTGGAGTACAAGCACAGTAACGGTGAGAGAGAGAACGAGAGCGGTGCGGCGAACGCGGCCATAAAAAGTCTCTTAGTTGGACGTGAAGTATAATATATTGATCAACCCGCTTTCCAACCTGACTTTTTATTGGCCATTAATGAAGCGGGCCCCTTTTGAGACCCAGAAACAAGTTCGGATCACCACACGATCGTAAGACAAACAGGTAGAAATAGAATTTTCTTAGCTTTTATCCACATTTTTCTTTTTTTT